TCTCTGTGCTGAACCTCTGCAAGCACTAGGTGGCCTGCTTTTAAAGGAAATGGGCAATCCCATCTGTTTCTGTGTGAAAGAGAAGATGAAAAGTACAATTTGCACAAGCTCTGCATCTATTTTATACATCGTGCTAGTCATGCTAAAACTTCATCACCTCTGTAAAACATTAATCCTGTGTTGGAAGGGAGAGACACCATCAATGTTGGCATTGGGTGCCCTCAAAGACACTGAGGCCAGAGGAGAATGGAAGATAAGAGATGTAGTTGACCTGTAAAGTGTGGGATTAAGCCATAGAAACTGCATTTGGCTGAGGTATTTAATGTCCTCTGGGAAAGTCCTCCTAACAGCTGTAATTTGTGTCTCTCTCAAAGAATGACTTCTGGTTCAGTAAAAAGAGTCAGTGCAAAAGGAAAACTTTGATTAACTACAGGCCTTGAACCACTAAATAAACAAAATTAAAAATCAGTTAATATTGAATGCAAACAAAGCTTTGGTGAAATAGTAAGTGATTTAACAAATTTTAACAGCATCATTACACATAACTTATTCTCACTGATGCCTTACACATGAGAATCACTCAGTGCCTAAAACTAAGGTGCAACAGAATTTTAACATGGCATGCACCCTAAAAGTCTCATTTTTCTCTGTTTAATTCGGGAGGTGGGAAATTGATGGCAGCAACAAGTGAGCCTGGAAGCTAGAATGGGAACATTAATGGATGGGTAAAATGTAATGTAACATTTTTTTAGCACTGTGATTCCTCCAGGCAAACCCCCTCTACCAAGCCAAAGGCAACCTGATGGTCAGATTCCCACAAATAACAAAGCCAGTAGGTCTACAGGGTCTAGTCCTCTCTAAATTAAGAAGTATTATTTCTTTCCACTCCCCCAGGGATTAGTCTGGATATTAGAAACATTTAAACCGGGTATTAGCCAAACAGATGTAAAAGAACCACAAGGGTTTATGATTCAAGCTTTTCTCCATTTAATCCAGCAAGGGAAAAAGTCTTTAATAAAAGCCTAGATTGCCCAGCCAGCTAACAAAACCAAGGACATTGAATCTGGTTTTCAAAATATATATGTTTTGAGAGAGGATTTCTATTGAAAAAATAAGCCTTAATGTATTTTTGATCCTGCTAGTAAATGATACAATCGTTTAACCTGTATTTAAAAACTAGTGTTTCCATCAAACCTTAATTGAGTTGAATCAGCCATTAGCAGTAGTTCTTATTGACTGAGAAATAAATGATGATTGATTGGCCTGACATAATTAATTGTTATTGTAGTTTTCAACAATTTAAGCTTATTTGCCCGGGCTACCCTTTCCACAATGTTTGAAAGATTTAATTAACTCTCATGCCAATAATTTAAATAGGCTTAAGATTCTGAGAATTACAGAGTAATCATTTTCATGGCTGCGTGGTCACAGAGCTATATTGAAATTTTAATTCTGAGAACATTTGATTTGTAAAGCAGTATATACCTTCTTAAGACAACTCTGTGAAGGTTTTACACTGCAACTGTAAAATTTATGCTGCTCATTATGTTTTGATGGAGCAGAGCTGGCACAGGTATTGTCCCCTCCATCTCTCCCTGTGTAGCTGCCTAGTTCCTTTATAAATTCTTTAAGGAAGATATTTGATTTTTATTCATATATAAACTCATTCAATTATTTTCTTTTGATGAGGTAAGATAATAAATGAAAGATGTGAATTCAGCTGGCATCTGGAAGAATATTTTACAAGGCAGTCAATGCTGTTTGATGCTCTCCTCCTCTTGATCTAGAATGTTGCTCTAGAATGTTGCTCCTGTCCCTACATTTCATTGGGTTTATGGTCTGTGGAGTACCTGAAAGAAGATGCTCAAAACACAGTGTGTGGAAGATGAAGGCTCAAAAGAGAGGAAGTGAGAGATGGAATGCCAAAGCAGAATTATTTAAGCCTCATCTTCACAGAAAGTCAGTGCTTGAAAAAGAAAATTCATTTTATAACTTCCTGTTCTATTCAAGTGCATGGGTTCTAATTTCAGGAAGGGGTTGCCCCCACACTCCAGGCAAGGCACTCTCCTCTAAACTGTCACTCTGCCTTGGATGAGGAGTTGGCTCCAGAATCCACCTGCTCCTCCCACAGTTTACAGAAACTGATGAAGGAGAAAGAATAGCACGAAAACCTTGCTACCAAGATTTTAGGGCAGGTACTCTGAAGTGACCTCTGAACCTACAATCCTTAAAAAAGCAGTTTCCCCTCACTCCAAAAAAAACAAATGTGTTGGGAACAGCTCCATGGCATCTTGAACTTCTTAAACATTTTTTCCTTTTTATTCACCTGAAAATAGCCCCTTAAGATTTCTGATTGACTGTATTAACACTTTTAAGCAAGTTAGTTGGACAACAAGTCATCTGGAATAAATCAGAAGAACATACTCTTACACCACTTGCAGGCTTCTTTGTGACTTGACCTTCAGAGTACTGATGGCTTCCAACAGGGTTGGAAACACTGTGCCCAGGAAGTCTGAGCAAAGTTGTGCTCCCTCAGAAGAAGGGAAAACACACCATGGGTTGAATCATGACACCATTAGCAGATGATTATTATTATCGTTACAAGGGCCATGTGTTAGGGATTCAGAGGTATTACGTGTCTTACTGTAATTAATGAACTGCTCTACTCAGAGGATAGCCTGACTGCCGGGAGGACACATATCTGCTGTTACATTAATGTCACTAGGCAGCGGATGGATGACTTTTTTTTTTTTTTTTTTAATGAAATTGAAGAAACGAAAGTGAACTTGGCAAAGTGTAATTGGGAAATGACAGTAGGTACCTGAGAAGGGCTGAAGCCTTTGAGCCATGGGAGATGCAAATAGCAGCTAAAGGGCAGAGGGGAGGAATGAGTTCAGAGTGGCAAGTGCAGGCACAGCTGTGCACTGCTGTCAGGGAAAGGAAATGGAAATTAGAACTAGATGCTGCCTCAGTGAGGCATCTGCCACATCCCAGGACGTCCCATTTCATCACCATGACATCTCTCATTTCTCCCTCTATAAAAAGCAAGATGCTCTTCCGTGTAGATCCCCTCGGTTCTCATCTGAAGGAGGAGGGCATGGGCCAGCTGCTGCTTTCATTCATCTGTGAGAATTTGGCCAGGACAGAAGCTATTGCACCTGCCTTGTGTTTTGTCATGCTTTCAAGACATTCAGTCCACAACGTCTTCTTACCATTGGATAGCTGGGGATGATTGAGGTTGTGACTCCATTGTCCTATTTTATTCTGAAAAAGTATAGTTACAAATATGATCAGAACTGCATTCATGTAATTAGGAAAAAATCTGGAATGACTCCAAAGGAAATGGGCCAAACTCCTAGTTAAATACATGACCAATTCAGGCCAATGTCATATTCCTATATCTGCCTCCAGAATGGGCAGATTTAAACAAAAACACAAACTTTTAGTGGCTTGAATGGCCTAATTTAAAAAGTAATTTTTGTTTCTCACTTTTTACTCTGCTCACTGTTCCAATATTTTAATATTAACATGAAATGTTAATACTGCACCAGTTTCATTTTTGCCCACTAAACCTCTTTAAATAATTTGCTATTATATTTTGTTTTAGACAAGACATCCATGCAGCCCTTTTTGATAACTCTGAGTAATAACTCTGTTAGACTTGCTTCAGCACTTCCAATTTCAATGCTTTCCTGTCTACAACCTTCTTTTTCTTTTTCTTTTTTTCAGATTATCCAATGACTTTTTTTACATTCTTTGACTTCTTATTCACAGAAAACTAATTTATTATGGTCAAGATGGACTGTGGGAAGCCTACCTTACTGTGCAGTCTAACTTCTAGAAGAAATTCTGGGGAGTTCCCAGTGTCCAAACATGATGACACCCCATCTCCTCATGTACTTCAGACTGCCACCCTTAGTGGTGTCCCCTACTTTACCCCTTGAGTTATTTCTCCTACTTCAGTCTCTCATTTATACCACAGCTTTGATTATTGAAACCAACCATTTCAGTTTAGTTAAAGAAATTGAATCCTCCCAAAACACACCTAAAATTAAAGTACAGGCTTCAACCCTAAGAGAACTGTAAGCACCTGGAATTCATGGTGCACTGCACCCCGCAGGACTGACCTGTAAGCTTTCTGGGTTATCCACGAAATTGCCTCTCCAACGTATGATCATTCAGGACAATGGGATCCCAACCACAAGACAACTTCATCAATCACAAGATTACAGCCTTCATGAGCTGACTTAGGTTTCGACACACTATAATTTTCCTTCTGTATATGCCACTGATTGTGGTTACTTTCACATCTTGTGCTAGGTACCAGCCTAGTAGCTCCCTGCCCTACAACACAGCAGCTGGTGCTTGCCTGCAGAATGGCCCTCTGGAATCAACCCCCGTGGGTGTTTATCAGGGCTGGTGCCAGCAAGGCACAGCCCATCCTGCTGAGTATGGGCTTTACTTTACTGTTTTTGCTTTACTGTTTGCTTTACTGCCACTTACCCGTGGAAAAACGTGTGCTACTGAATGTTCTGTTTTAATGGCTGTTGTTACCATGGATGCAAATGCAAATCTGTTTTTACACTTAATACGCTGTGTGGCAGCAAGATCCAGCAGAAGATCCCTGCAAATATAAACACCTACATGCACAGGGACTTACATCTGGGTTTGCACATAGCCATGAGGAGGATGTATAAAAGCTGTATTCAAAGCCCCTAATTTAAAACATTTTTCAGGCAGTCCTTGGCAGACTGAGTAGAAATGACACTTGATAGTCATTCATCCAAATTTTATGTAGTTTTGAGTTTTCTTTTAAATTCCAAAGCCTTAGATTGTGCCAAGGAGTTGCCATTGCATTGATTTCAATGGGGAATTCTGGTTTAGATTTGATAACACTGGTAACAGCCCACATTTTGAGTGGACAACATCTAAAATTCAGTGTCATGATGTTCAAACATTTCCACTGATTTCTAGACACAAAATAAATTCAGGGACTCATATACATTGAATGCATTCTGTTTATTTGAGAAGGAAGATCTCATACGAGTGCCTGTTATGGAAGGCATCTCTTATCATGTACAATAAAATCAACCATTGCTTCCAGCAGAATACAAAAATACACATCTCAGTGACTTCCATACAATAATAAATATGTAATCATGCATCCAACAATAAAAAGGCACGGAAAACTGGTCACTTAGTAGTCATAAAAATTACTAACTATATTAACAAAGCCACCCAAATTATCTGTACAAGGAAATGTAACAATATATTCCAAAGGTGAAAACACATAAAACATCTTTAAAATAGTATATGCAATAAATACCTCAATTGTTTTTATATATTAAAAATAAAACTGTGCCATTGTAAACAGTATGTAAACAAACAAAATTCACTGTTCCTTACCATTATTACAAGTAAATAAAGCCAAAAGTTACACCCCTGCTCTGTTAGATATACTTCATTGGCAAGTTTTGTCAGGCAGTTTAAAGTTTTATTCTTTTCTGCAGCAAACAGAGCCTGCTATGTGTGTAATTCTAAGTATTAGAGCAATTGCTAAGCTTTAAAACTGACTGCCCAGGACATAGTAGGTCATCAAAGAGAACTGGAACTAGGAAAAGCAATTCTTGCAGTGTTATGGACAGAAGTAATTATTTTTACTACATATAATAGTGTGGGTAAAACTCAGCGGTTTATATAACACTGCTCTCCTACAGGACTTGAGAGGGCTGTACAGAGGTGGTGAGCATCCCTATTCCCTTGGGTGGAGAAAGTGAGGTACTCGGAGGTTAACTACACTGCCCCCAGTCTTACACCAGCTTCACTGGCAGGAAACCAAAGGCAGAATCCAGACTTTCAGCCACTTCCTCCTCATTTCCTCAGATATCACATGGCCTTGCAGACAAATAAAGGTGTGTCCTGAACTCCAGTCCTGATTAGAATTGCAGAAAGCCAACCAATACGCAAAAGGAAAGGAGTCTGCTTGCTTGGCACCCTTCTGCCCCCACTGACAACCACAGAGCCTTGCCACCAAGTGAAGCACCAAGAAGCTTTTTCTTCCACTAATCTGTGGTCAGAGCCACATTAGCTAACGAGCCCAGACAGAGCCCTGTATCCTTTGCAAACCTATTTATTGCCTCAAATGTCTATTCTTTGAGGTCTGTTTCTACAGCCAACAAACTCCTAGAAATTTCAACCAAGGTGCATACTTCCTGCCTTATTAGCAAGGGGAAGGATAGGAATCTGAATATGATCCTTTCCTCAACAAAATTATAGGAAAAGATTCCTGGAAGTGGTGGGCATTTGCACAGATGTCTTCAGAAAGAGCCTTGTGAAGGAAGGTGTCTGCTTTGTTATTTCTTCAGCTTTTGATAACCTTGACATACTACATCATTTTACACATCCGACTACCCCTGGGATGACTTATCTATGATAAATATAAACTTACCTGTTCCCAACATATGTATTTCAAAGTGCATGACAGCTCTTGTTTAAAAATGGTATTTTAGCCTTAGATGAAGAAATTAGGATGCATCTATTTAGCTGTTTCACAGCCATATGGTTTTTTTACAGGAAGAATACACTTTGAGCATACATAATTAAAAGATACCCTGGAAAGGGATTTAGGAAGCGCTGCATTATGGTATATTTCATCCTTGTGCTATTAAAGAACTGTTCCTTCTGCTTTTAGACAAGTGTTTTCTCTAATGTCAAGCAGCTGTCTGACTTGCCTTACCATTTAACGTTTTCATCATTTTAACTGATCCATGGAATATAAAAAGTCACTCAACACACTGGCTCTGAAGATACCTCCATGTCTTGATGAGAAGCTTAAACCCGCATACTTACTATGTAACTTTTTTTTTTTTTTTCCCAATAAGGTACTTCTGGATAAGGTACTTCAAGTGTCTTATACCAGATCTGCAAAGACAGGTGAGCTGCATGAGATCAGTAAGTATAGAAAACAGACAGGACTACTTTTTATTTATCATGGAATAATTCTTCACCTTCACCTGCCACATTGCATTCCCTCTTTGTGAGATGAGAGAGGCATGAAAGGTGATCTCTTTTTAGAGGATTCTGTATTAAATCTTACAAAAGTTATTTTAGAAGGTATTTTCTTAGACATATTCAAGGACCAGATCAATGAAAAATTCTGTACAGTCTCTGAGGCATATATTCCCACCTGTGTTGTAGTTTGCAGGTTCCATAGAAAAATCCAAATAGAAACTGCAGATTTCACATTGGGAAAAAATAAATACATTTCACTCATTAAAAAACTTATCACAGTAGGAAAATAGCCAGTAAACAATAGATTCAGAAGAGTTTAATCTTGGCCCCAGTGAGATCAATGGGAGTTTTGCCAAGGATTTCAAAAAAGCCAAAATTTCACCCAGAATCATATACAATTCTTTAGCTGACAACAATCATAAACATCTTGCCACCCCATTGTATAAGTTAAATATTAATAAGCATCTGTAAACATCCTGCAAGTTATTTGATATAAAAAAATACTATAATAAAAACAATGCAGCATCTCAAGCACTGTATAGTTTTAAGTTTTTTTGGCTCAACATACAAGTTGACATTGTTATATTGGGCAAAACCAGGGCATGTATATACATCTCTATGTACAGGTGTGCTCTCACATAAACATTATGAACCTGGTACTACATATCTACATACATCCACACAAATACTGGCAAGAGAATGACATTCATAGGAATGGCACATAAAAGCTTACCCATGGTCAGTTTGAGGATTGCTTTTATGTGAGGAACAATATCTCTCCAAGAAAATAATCTGTAGGCTTACATGTAAATGCTATAAATGAAATGCAAGAACAATCTCCAAGGGGCCTAAAGTACTATTTAAAGCATAGCATATGCCTAAGTCCCAAAATATTTATATGATTGCAAAGATGATGGACTTTCTTGTGGAATAAACAGGAAGAAGGGGAAACAAAGGGCAGAAACTACTGAATATGTGCCAGTAGATGTTAGATGGTTTTCATCTAACCCGTTAGATGTTTTTATCTAACAAATCATGTAAGATGTTTTAATTTTCAATTGAATATAGGTTTGGACTGAGTGGAAAGCACATGTTTCAGCTCTTTGCTACGAACTGCCATTTAGACACAAATATATGAGTTATGCAGAGAACTAGACAGCGTCCCATTTTTGCAACGCTTCCAGGCATAGTTCATGTATCCATTCATGCAGGTAAGTGGATGTTACTACAGAATTAACTACCAGCTGTACTTTACTGGAATACCAGTGTAAGTCACAAGTCTGGCTAATGACAGACAGAAACCATTCTGGGTTGGGATCCTCTCAGAACTTTTGAAATACCTTTAGATGAAATTTACCTTTCTTAAATGCCAGAATATACATTAAAAATACATTAATGCAATTCCATAGTGCTCAACATTTGAAGATACCTGCTCTAGACAGACAGATGTGACAGTGAGAAGTTTCATTAGTTTATTAGTGACCATGAATTAAGACAAGAAGCTGCTAATACTGTATGACATTACATTATTTGTGTGTGATGACAGCAACAAAGAAGAGCCAGAGGAAAGGTGCAGAGATCAGGCCCCCTTCACCTTTCAGGAGCATCTCAACAGCTTGTACTCCTTATGTACAAATCCCATCTATTTATTGCATGTCTCATCTGCCACTGTGAATATCACCTTGCCCTTCGATGATCCTGTCGACATACAAGCATATTAAATCTCTAAGGTAACTGGCAGCTCTAGGGAAATGCCGAGAAGAGTTTCAGCTCTTTTAGGATTCTAAGGATATGATGTAAAAAGGTGGCTAATGAAAAAAATTATTTCAGGACAGGTTCACAAGCTCCTTGAATGGGAAAGATGGTTATTTTTGTCAAATATGAACAAACATATTTTTCAAGGTACCAAATTTAAGGAGACATAAAACCAAGACAGAAAGTACAGACACCACAAGTGACAGATGCCTGTAGAAAATCCTCTGGAATGTGGCTAGACATACAGTCCAAATGCCTGTTTAAATGTATAGATGTGGCATCTTGTGAGAGGACAGTGCTACTAGGAACCTTCACAGTGAGAATATGCATGCCTGTGTGCTCCTTGTAAATCTTCTAAACTATCCAGCTAGAAAATCTTGTATCCTTGAAATTCTCATTAAAAGCCTCCAGGCCCTACTGTTCAGCACATGTGCTCTCCCCATCCTGAAAAGCAAGACCAAGCAGCTTTGAATGGCTTTCCTCCATCTCCCTGTTCACAAAATAATTGTCCGTGACTGCAAAGAGAATTAGTCCCAAACAGAGCTTACTTACATTAACACCAGGAGAAGAACATAGTTATATCTCTAACTCTTTCCCTGTTACTGGCACTGTCAGGTTATTAATTAAACTGGTTTTTATCCAATGAATTCTTTAGTTTAAAAAATTTGGGACTTAAAATGCTAATTCCCTTTAAAAAGTCATAGAAGGGATTTGGGGCACTATGGAGATTTTATTTTTGGCTTTACACACAGTTTCCATAATGAAAACAAACCATCCAATTTTACTTTTAGCTCATTTCTTCCTGTTCCCACCTTCCAGTACACACACTCTTGTCTAGCTATACCTGGATCAAACAGAGCTCCCTAAAATTGTTTCCAATGAATTTGGAAAAAGACAGTTGCAAATGACTTAAAATTTAGTACCACATTGTGTTTATATTCAGTAGCTTTTCAATCCTAACACTAGTCTTTGAATAATACCACAAACTATATTTTTCCAAAATATTTGTTCCACAGAATAAAATATTAATTGGCCATTTGGACATTGTCCTACTAATAGCTACCATAACGTTCAGTATTTTCAATGTCTTACAGAGCTGGTAGAGTTAGCCAAAACATTTCTCTTGCCAAGGGTATTCTGGTAGCTCACATTAATTGTTAGACAGAGCTTTCAGAAGGGACTACAAAAATATAGTCCATCCTGGCTATGCTAAGCTTTGAAGCCTGAAGCCTTGGTGTATCTTTCTCTCCTCAAGCACCCTACAACTTTTTCCTGGCCTGCTTGTCCAGCTCTTTTGAACAAAAACCATAGACAGACATGCAAGGGTCTCATCTTGCCAGAAGCTGGGAACTCATCCAGACACAGAGCTGGGAAGCAAGGTAAAAACATTAATAAAGGCATGACTGGTGTTAAACATAAATGAGGCACCAGCTTCTTCGGGCCCACTAATACAAGCAGTAGGTTATATGAACTCAAAATCTCATCAGAGAGCTCATCAATTTTTTGTCAATTGGGAAACAAGTCTTTAATTATTTAAAACAGATGTTTATAGTTCTACCATGTGCACATATGAATTTTCTGTTGATTGTTCTGAAGGTGATAGGTCTTTTTAACCACTATAGCTAAATTGATTAAAATTTGTCCAGGAATACTCTTGGGTACATATTCATCAGCATTTTGCTTCTTTGCAGAAGTGTTAGCAATGCTAATATTTTTTAATTTACATATGACAAAGGGATGACATTTGAAGATTACCTCTATGCACTGAAAAAACCCACAAACCTTTCACATTTTTTTTTTTAGTTAAAGTATTGACAGTGATCACTATTAAGCCTACAGAAGTTGCTATAAATTTTAGTATTAGCTCCAAATGGGTACAGAAATAGTCCTCTCTAGATGGCTTCCAAATGGATTATAATTTCTGAGAAACACACTGGTCTTCTGTATGGCAGAAACAAACATTTCAAGTACATAAGCTAACACTTAACAGAGCTATGAAATGCAAATTCTACTAATGCAACAGTAGTAAAAAACAACTAGAAAAATTTTTTTCTTTTTGTAAAAAAGATCCATTCTAACTATACTCTAGATATAAATACAGGAATTTATACAACCAGTAAAGATTTTATATTGATAAAGCATCATTTGGTAATTATCAATCCTGCTGATGCTACCATTCATCTCTGAAGAGAAAACAGAGATATTTTAAGTCTTGTCCAAACTCCTTAGCTTCCTCAAGTCATCATAAACTTGTTCCTTAAGACAGCAATACAGTCATGTACAGTTCTTGCAAACATTAAATCCTCGCAGTTAGAATAAGCAGCATCAAACCTTGATGATATGAAAATCATACCACAAAACATACAAATCCATGAAAACAGAAGAATCAAAAATGCAGGACAGTCTGTGTTATAAACGTATACAGGATGCTGCAGTTGAGAGGTACTTAAGTTATTGGGGTGAAAAAAATAAATTTAAAATTACTTCTTTAATTTTCTTTTCTGTGGCTCTCACTTACTCATACAGGTGACAAGATGATTTCCTGGTTGTAAGCTAAACAAATTGCTCCGGCTCAGTTGTCCTCAATGAGATACATTCCTTGTGACTTTACCTTTTACAAAGACTTTTTGCACTGCTAATTATTAATTACCAGACCTTTTGAACTCATAGGCAAGAACTTAATATTTAGGGGCACAGAGAGAGCACTGCAGAAACAGCTATAAACACTACTAATGCAATCATTAACAGGAAGTATCAAGCAAAATGGAATCACCATGGGGGGTTTTGTCTTCATATACATTACTACAACTGTTTTTAAAGTAGGACTATGGAACATCCTGTCATATTTTCTTTATATATTAATTTTCCATTACGTGTGAAAAAGGTCTCATGCCAGTCTTCCTGAAATGGAGACCACATGCACTGAAAAACACTGATAATTTTACCCTTGAAGTAATGTTCATTATCAAGGCTTTATAAAATTTTCATTAATAGGATGAGCAAGTTCAATTAAAAAGTAAAACTGGCAGGTTATCTGTTTCTCTACAAAAAAAAAAAAAAGCATAGGAAAATATAAAATGGACATTTATGAAGAAAAACATCAATAATTCTTCTTTGAATTACAGCGATGCAGCATTGCAGTATTAATTACTTTGGACAGGGATAGAGAGATCAAGATGATTTCTATTTATTATTTACAGGACCAAGAATGTTAATTCCAGTCCCAAGAAGTATTGGAATTAAATAGTCTGAGAGGGGTTTTGATCATATGCTTTACACTTTACTGTTCTTCCAAGTTCAAAGCATTTTTCTTTGAAAGAAAGAGACATTCAGGAGAAAAGAATAGTGATTAAGGGGAGAGACATAAAAATGTATCAAAGAAAATTTTTCTTTGCCATCTTATAAAAAAAATTATTTTTGAACCTTCTTTTCTTTGAAGTATTGCAAAACATCCCCAAACACCTAAAACCACGTGTTGGCTTGATTTCATGAGGCTTTATAAAGGCAAAACTTGCATGACCTAAATCAGAGATTGCTACAGCAATCAAATACAGTGAACTGAGGAAATTATATTTGAAAATTAAAAAACAACAACTTAAATTTAGCAACCTGATGCCATTCTAAAACATGCAGTTCTTGTGTTCCTCTCTCTGAGATGCAGAACTTTTCATCTATACAAATACAAGCGACTAGAAAAAAATGCAGATTACTCTGCACTCCCTTCAGGCTTTAATGTATACTGACCACAGAAATCATGTGTATTTGACTGGGGGGAAAAATTAAATCCAGTAAACTTTGTATAGGGATTGTCTTGATAAATCTAGCATGCTGAAATCAGGGTCCACAGGCTCTTATTTTCTAAAAAGAACTGCTTTTAGGGATGTGTTAACCTTGGTTTTGTTATAATATTGGGATGTGTGCGTTGAAGCACTTTTTACAGCAGGATTAAATTAGGGAGAATACAGTTTGTTAAAAAATGTAGTTATGTATGTACTTAGTTCTAGGAGCTGGGACTTTTACAGCAGTAAGAAAAAACCCCAATATTTAGAAAAAATCACGAGAGAGCAGCACTGTGTTCAGGTCTTCAAAAAAGCCACATCACTTAAACACAGTTACAATCCACAACCTCCACAAAGAACCCCTACAAAATATTTTGAGCCTCCTTGTCAGAAGCATTTGCACTTCATAGCCAACACTAGTCTAAGGCATAGAGTTGCATAAAATTTGCTTTCTTGGGCATCTAATAAATACAGCATAAATTACACAGTTTTGCTTTTTCCTACTCACATGATTAAAGAAATCTGTTTAGGACAATCAAAGTTGAATTCTTTGGTGATCATTCAGAAAAATGAACATTGATCAGTTGTCCTATATTGAGGTAATTTGAGGAGTGCCATAAGAAAGTTGTGTTACAAACAAATTTGCCCATTTTTCCTGCCCAAAAGCAGCTTCCATTTCTTAATATACTCAGCATAGATCTCTACAGTGACTTGAAGAGATTTGGTTCCATAGGCCATCTTAATGCATTACATACAGCAAGGCTGAAAGTTGTAAAGAGATTGTATCTTACAATCAGGAAAGCAAAGAAAGTTCTGCTATGTGTTATGTCCTTGAATAGACCAGAAGATGAGCTGTGCTGTCTACTGCAACATCAATATGCTAAAATGCTGCCACATGTTAAAATACAGTGTAGCTTATGGAGAACCAAAGAGAAAAAGAAATAAAGCTTACAAAGACTTGGCAGATGTCTCCTGAATGTCATTAAAGGAGTGAATGTCAAGTACATTAGAATAAAACCAAAACCAACAAACTTTCCACCGTTTGCCTAACTTTTCATATTTTTTATATGCTTTTCATACAACAGCCTGAAAGTCATATCATTTGGCAAATGCAATTTGGTTTGTTTTTTAATGGAAAATAGCCCTTTACTTTTGTTTGTTTACCAGAGTAATCATTATGTCCACAGAACTCCCAGAGTGGTGCCTGTTCAACCTACAGCAGCAAGAACACAAAAAACTACAATCAGAAAAAAATTAAGTCTGTTTTGATTATTCTGATTTTTTTTTCTCCAATAAAACAATGAGGATAATAGACTTTCCTTTCCAAGGGATGAGTCCCATCTATTTGCCATGGAACAGCTCCTGTCATATGCATGGGAAATGGAGGGCAAAACCAGGATGCAGTACTTGACATTGGCCCCTTTATACAAGAAAATAAGTTTTGATAAAAAACAAATTGAAACAAATGAAACCTTACTCTGCTGCCCATGAGGAAAACACAAATAGATGTTAAGATACTCTTTAAAATGCAAGAAACATCAAAGCTATTTGATTAAGTGAAAGTCAAATGTTCCTTGTGCTGCAATGACACATTGATAGGAATAGCAAGGAGAAAGCAATTCTGTGCAAATTTTCTGGCAGGTGGTGCAAAGTCATCTTATCTCAAACATTTAGGTAGGATTTTTTTTTTTAGATACCTGAAATTTATTTTCCAACTAGATTAATACTTTTGTGAAAAGTTAACGAGGAAATTAAATTATGAACCTGTTTCATTTAAGTAAAGTGTAAATAACCTTACAAACTCTGGTCTAGAGCAATTTATAAACAAAGGTGGTTTTAATTTTTTTAACCTGTTTACACTCGTGGATTACTGTCTTGCATGTGATTCATCTTAGCATGCATAGCCTAAAACCTTGTAGTCTGGGTTTTTTAAATTTTTATGGTCTACTGATGGTGGAGTGCTGTCAAGAAAAAAATTGATACCTTTTTAAAGAAATGCACACAGATGCATTTTTAAATTAGTAGTTAATTAGCAACAAGTAAAATTTTACCCCACAAAAATCATATCAGCTGCTACATTTTAAATATCTTCTTATGTATTATAAATAAAATTAAATTTTCCTTTAAGAAAATTTCATTAATATTTAAACTTGCTTTTGAACAATAGAATAAATAAAACCATTAGTGCCTACAAGTTCAAATATGCTACAAATGTTTAAGATAACTGAATAACTACATTAAAATGCACCATGAGAAAATTCTTTATCATTTTCCATGCAGGAAGCCAATTGATGTTTTTGTGAGGTACCGGTCTTTCAAAAAGTCTCATAAGTTAGTTACCTGATAAACCTTCTGTACATGATATATCTAAAAATCTAACTGTACAGTGTTTCAATCATATATAATCTGCTGAATATGGCACAAATGCTAAGTTTCCACACCCACACACCCTTTGCCATAGAACACATTTGAGGCATAACACAACACTGAAGAATAGAAAAGTGCCTGAAACTGGAGGGAAAAAAAAAAAAAAAAAAAAAAAAAAAAAAAAAAAAAAAAAAAAAAAAGAAAAAAAAAAAAAAAAAGACACTCAAGTAGCAATAAATTAAATCTCATTCAAACCAATAAAAAAGTTGTTCAAGTGTTTAAAGTATCAGATGTGTCATGCAACAGAACAACAGACAATTCAGGCAGGCACACCATGCAGTATAGTTTGCATTCATGGTATCACGAGGTATCTCTCCCCTCTTCTGCATGGCCAGCGAGTGCTGGATACCTGCGGCACTGCCAGGCTCACGTGTTGAACCTTCCAAACATCCTGGTCTCCCACACAGGAGGTTTTACACAGCTACGCCTCAGAAGGAAAACCAGGTGACCTCATGCTGTACAGTGGCATCTTGCTGCAGCATAAAGAGAGGCATACTGAGCTGCATGTAAGCAAAGCAATCATTCCTTGACTATATTTTCCAGTCAGTGCAGTTCACCATCAACCAATCAATTTGCCAAACTGGGCTTATCTGAACTGGCCAATTTGCACACCAAGAAAACATCTTTGCAGAACATACCACCTTTTCCTTTTTGTTTTGGCACAAATCCTTTTGTACTCTTGCTGCAAGTTCTTCACCACACAAGAATGCAGAGGTGCTAGGCTGTACAAACACCAGTGCTTATTCTTCCATTAACTACAAGGACAGCCAAGTGCTTGCAACAGCTTTGCTTCTCCAGCAACTTTCTCTTCTCTCTTTAAGAAAAGCACCAGCATAATTACACTTCAGACAAAGGGGTGTTCTTGCTGAGCTCTTTAATTCCCTGGAGAATTCGCTTCATATGACCCACTTTCGTTATCCCCAGGTCCTACAGAAAATTTAAAAACAGAAAAAGAAAAAAAGAGAAGAAGAAAATGAAGGAAGTTTACTTTAAAAATGGGAAAAAGAAACCCCAGTGATTATGACCTATCCATACCTATCCATGCAGCGTATGTCTAGAAATGTGCTCACTGCAATCAACACTAACCAGGAAGGGTTAGCAACAGTTGCTTTACAAGAAGACTGCTTAGATCACACAATGAATCCCTCTCTGTCTGGCAGACAAAAAATTACTTACCTGCAATAGTGACAACCCAGGGCACTTCAATATATGTCAAAACCATCTTTGATTTGATTTATAAATACAAACACCTTTCACAATTTCTGGCAAAATAAAGAGAACAATCTCCCCCTCCTCTCTAATACAGCAATCAAATGCTTGGTAGAATGTGATGGATTGAAACTTCTGTCCAGCAATGTCACTTGATCTGAGGCCCTATGATGTCTGCTTTAATCAACAAACACATATATTCCCAGTTTCTCAAGGGAAAGTGGATGTAATGGCTACAGGCATGTAGGACAACTTCCCTTTAGAGAGCAATAGAAAGAGTAAGCTTTGTTTGTTTTGTAACTAAAAAGGTTACATCTCCTAGCATGGATGTTCTTGATTAGAGAGATGGAAGAAAACTTCTCAGAAACATGACAGTCATATCCCAAAGGAAATGTGAAAAGCACAAGAGTAAATCTCTTTGTAGCCACTAAATCATTCACATCAGCTGAAATGTTTCTATTATTGGTTTCTAGACCCATCTCTGTATGCAACAACAGACAAGAATTTTTTGTAGCAAACTTCTTCCAGTATTAGTAATAGCTTTAGCAGCATCCTTTTTCAATTTTGGCTGGTCCAATGATCAGAGAAACAGAATGAGATGCCCAGCTGTGCTAATGATCTCTCACCACACTAATGAATTTTCAGCTCAGTCTGGTGGAAATCTGCTTTTCTTATGAAAAAGTCTTTAAAAAACATGTCTTAGTGGTGTTGAGCAATCAGCAAACACTAGTTATTTGTAGAATAAACCTTATATAAATAGATTGTGGTTAAATAGCTAAAAAAATTAGAAAAATTTCACTATTTTTCTGAAACAGAAATAATTTCATTTTAATAGGAAGATTTTTCCATTACAAAGGCATTAAAAAGGAGTATAATTAGGCAACTTGAAAAAGTATTTCTCATATAGAGTGGAAAATATCTATTATTCTGTACATATTCTACGCAAAGACTGTATCTACATTTCTACAGCCACAGAGACCTCAGAAAAATCTATATTCTATATTACTTTAAAATGGTAGCATGCACTTCATCTCGGAAGAAAGGGGTGGTAAAATGGACATGAATTCAATCTTTTATTATAAAGGTAGCATAGCCAAGATTAAAGAGATGGTTTAATTTTCAGAGAGTCAAGAGTGAATTCTGGTTATGTTAGAGAGAAAAAATATTTGGTTGTTTCTTCAGTTGAAAACTATCGGCACTATAAATAGACAGTCATCCTTTTCAGGACTTTGGCACAAAGGTGTCAGCATTAAGGAGTTCAACATTTGTTCTTAAAATTTCCTAAAGCAAGTGCTGTTCATAAACTACCTGAAAAAAACCTCCTGATTTTCCACATCACATAAATTTATATTTTCTTTTCACTAATACTCATCTCACTTATAAACAAATGTTGTACTAATTTTTAAGTTATGAGAGTTAATGTAGGTAGTAGTCAAATTAATACTAAAATGACAGTAATATTTATAATTTTAAATTTCTGTAATATTGTCCTTTTTATGTTAAACTTAATTCTCAAGTGAATCAAAAAAAAACCCACACATGACTAGTGAAACTAATGAAATAGCCTACTTGCTATGTGGAAGAAATTCTACATAAGGGAAAACCCATAAGGATACTTTCCAAATCACAACAAACCACACAATTTAAAGGTTAAGAACTTACAAAGTCTTCAAAAACAGATATATTTTCATGAGTAGAACTTCTGTTGGATAAGCAATATAGTGAGATGCTGCCAGAGTTCAAAATCAGAATAAATAAACATACTATGAAATTCCAAAAAAACTCAGCCACTTTTCCCACAAGCCTATTAAAGCATTTCACAATACCTTTGATTCAGAGGCAAGAGATTCTGGGTTTATTTCTGTTCCAGCTAAAGTTGCTGTAATGCATATCAGAACAGCAAGTCTCAAGAGCCTCATTGAAAATTTTGGGGGCCCTTTTTCTGTTACACTTCCAAGGGGAAAAAAACCCCAACCAAAAACTCAGAATTTTTATGCTTTTATAATAGCCTTTGGGTTGGTGGAAACTAGAATTTATACAGTCATAACACTAGATGCTATTTGGTATTCTCAGTTTACTCCTTATGCAGAAAAGTCTGCTGAAATTCTCTCATGTCAGACTAAAAGAATCTGCTATATCAGCATATTATGCATCATTCATGGAACAAGACCCTCAAATATCTCTACATATTTGTGCATGAGACATAATCTGTTCATATCAAATTGGCATCTAGTTAACAAAAAATCAATTTGACTAAACTACAGTTTTGAGGAAGAAATTCTAGCCAGAGTCTGAAGAAAAAAAATAGCTTTTATTTTTTCCCAGATATAGCCTTAGAACTACAGTATCACCTCTCTCCCTGCTCTCCCTAACCACTGTACCATCTCCTGGACATTTTTTGGCCAAATGTAGCACCACTAGCAAACAATTGATACAAGAACTCCTTAATAATAATAACATCTACCCTACTTGCATCCCCAGTGTAAAAAACATTTAGCATGTCTGAAATCTAACAAATATTACAAAACTTTTTCCATAAAAAAACTTTTTCAAAACATGCTGCTGCAAAACACAAGGATGAAGTGTCACAGTCCTTGTCACAGATTTCAGTCTGACTAGCACTATGGTCTGTGGCATGGAAAGCCTTTCTCCAAGGAAACCAACATTGCTATGGAGCTTTAAGGAGACATCATCCCTTGTCCTACCAGATGTGTTGCAGTTCTGATTATGACTAAGCTGCCTGCATAGGAACATGGTTATCAATGCTAAGAATGCCAATATTTATTTCAGAAAAATCAGTATAATTTTCAATAAGTTTGCTTGCAAAAATAAGTAAAAAAAAAAAAAAAAAATAAAAAAAAAAAAAAAAAAAAAAAAAAAAAAAAAAAAAAAAAAAAAAGTCACAACTAAGCCTTCTTTCTACAGTTTCTGCAGAAAAAGACACAATTTACTGCCAAGCCATTCATCAAGCAAAAGAAAATCATACAAGTGTAAATTTCTAACATCCCCCTACATGAAATCAGGCATAAGAGGCCAGAGAAAGATTATTACTGCAAGGACTGCGTGGAAAGAGGTATTCTGGTTCTTCATTTGCCAGTTGCCACACACAGATCCCTGAGAACGGGATCCACAAGCAGAAATACAATTAGAAGTGCCCAATTCTTCTGTCAGTGTATCAATCTGCTCCAGCGATGCGTGCAAAGGAAGAGTGTTTCATCAAATCCTTCTCCATACTGCTTTTTGTCTCTACTTTCGACCACAAAAAGAAAGGTGGGCTCAGAGGATTCAATTAAAACAGGTAGCAATTTTTCCTGCTGCAGACATGAAAGGTAATAGGGATAAATGTACTGTACATGAGTTAGGAGCTCATCAATCAATGGTGATCTCGTTTAGCTTGTCAGGAAGCACAGGCCTTCCAGTGGAGGAGAGGCTGCAGACAGATTATAGCTTGCAAGAGCACTGAAGGCTCATCTGCACACCTCCATAGCCAAAGGGAGGAAAGATTCACAGGGTAGCTTGTGATGTGTTCTTCATTTCCCAAGTACCACATGACACATCTTGACACCAATTTAGGTCACTGGAGAAAACTGCAGGCTGCAATTGGCTCTGTGCAGAGACCATGTCCCATCATCAGCAGGATGAGCACTAAACTCTGCTATTTAAGTTCAGTGCAAGCCATGCCTGGCCAAAAACCCGCCTAGCTTATGAACAGCATTGATTTGGAAGCTCTCAGCATCTTCTAACGAGCGCATGGGGCGATTGTGGAGCGAGATTTTGGTTAGCTCAGGGCATGCCCTTGGCTGCTCTTGAAGAGCAACTCGTCCTGTGAGCCTCCAGGCAGCACTGCATAGAGGCTCTCTGCAGGCCCCATAAGACAAACCTTTAGCTATTTAATGGCACAGACCTTTGTGATAGGATTTTATCTACACTGAGCCAAAATGAGCCTTAGCAACAGGCCTAACAGGTTGACAGCTACCCTGCTGCAGATATTTACTTGGTTTAAGTGCCAGCCCACTGGGCATGGAGTGAAATTATGAGAAGTAAGGCATGGTCAGAAGCCATGTCCATTTTACAGATCTTACCCACCATATTTTATTCCAACAAGTTGGACTTTTAAAATTTTCTTAACATTTCAGCAAGCCTATACATTTGTATGATGCTGAGTTTCTCAGTTGAATTTTAAGTTTGTTCAGCACTCATTTAAAACAGGGACTTGCAACATCCATCACTGGAACACTGTGGTGGATTGCTTGGACAGTCTTCTATTTCTAAAGTTTTGCAGGGAGGGACGTCCTGAAACTGTCCCTCCCTTGTCAGAAACTATCCTGAAAGAAAGGAATTTAACTTCCATGAAAAGAAGATTAGGCAATCTAATAACAAAGAGTAAAACAATACACAACAGCCAAACAGATTATCTCAAACAGCTATTTTCAGCAGCTGCTTTCTATTGCAACAGTCACACAATGGAAGCACTACCTTATAACATCAGGATTTCACACTATATAAAAAACTTTACATAAAATAACACAATTGTATGAAAATATTGTCTCAACCTGGAGACTACTGCACTGTGGCTAGAACCATGACTTGCACTCTAAATGTAAATGTTTGCAATTTATACAATATCCTATTTCCTCTCTTACATGCTAAAAGCAGTTGCAAAACCCATTACCAAGAACTCATTACTACCGAGTTCCTGGAAAAAGTCATTTAATGAATCCCCAAAGATATAGCCACCATTACATATAATGGATGCACTTAAGTCATTCTTGAAAAGGACCAGCAAGCTCAAATAACAGCCTCAAACTGCTGGATAACGTTCCTCCCTGAAAAATTTATCTATCTGACCTCAGAGGAAAAAGGTTTTACAATTTAGCAGTTGAAATAAAATACTATTTTAAAAAAATCTACACAGCCAAAATCAGAGGTCGGTCACTGATGAGAAAACCTATTTTGACACACAAACACCAATGCCGTGTAAGCCAAATACTGCAATTTATTAAGCTACTTATCTCTCTCACATCCACTATATCAAATATATACACAATAAATCATGTGGAGCAGATCAGCCCCTGCAGGAGATAGATTCAAAATAATTATAACCACCATCAACTGACCCATACTGATAATGTTTAATGGCAACAGTGAACTCTTGAAGAAAATATCATTTTACACAGATGGCAGTAAGATATCAAATGTGCTTCTCCTATGCCTTCTGACATAAACTGCATCTACTGTATCATATCATTCTACATAAAGCTGAGAGGGGGGGAAAAATAAATTTTGGATAACACAGATATTCTTGGTTGTGAGTTGAAGTCAGTATTTCAGAAAGTCAGGCCCGAGGACAGCGCATATTAGTTTATTGCATATTTGCACAGTGTAAGCCAAGCTACAAGCAATGACAAGTGCAGGGAAAGAAGAAAAGTTGGTTGTTGTTTTGTCAAAGAAAATGGTCAATAGCAGAAAAGTAGCACAAAGGAAATACCTTAAGATCTCGCCTTTCCAGATGTAAAAGCTCAGAGCCTCGGATGTCATGGCTGATGAAGATTTCTTTGTACTCTCCCAAACTGAGCAGATCCAGCCAAGCAGCAACTTCATCTGTGCCCCATTTTTGAACTACCAAAGTTAAGAGCAAAACCCCCTTAATTTCTACATGCTCAAATGCATCACAAGCAAAGGTTAGGCCAAAGAGAGTGGAAAACAGAGTAGAATTGCCGTGCTAGCAAAGGGAAAGGTTAGAGGTGTCTTTTCCACAAAAACTGACAATTTCCTTTTTACATGCAGGTTACAGGTTAGCAGTTAACACAAGAAAGTATCTAAACAAAGTTGGGGTTCTTTGCTTTGCAGCCATGCTTTCAGCTTTACTCCAGTTTCTTCAGTAAAGCCTTTAAAACCTCAGGTCCCAACAAATTCACATTAAACCAGCTCTAGGATCAGTGATGCAAAGTCTAATGTTGTTCTGCTTTATGCCATTAATTTATTAGTAGTCATCCAGGGAGAGGAGAAGCCTTCAAAAACTAATTAACATGTAAAATTAAAATAGCAACTGTACCTCAAATATAGCAATGGCAGCAAGCAAGTCCAGTTTTAATTAACAGATTCTAGTATTCTTAATTAAGACAAGAAATACTCCTTAAGCTACTGTGTTACACAGGCCACTAAGAAGCTCTCTGTAAAACATTGTTCTCTAAGGTTAGTTGCCCACATTAGTCCCATTAAGACCACATATATTAAAGAAATAGTTATGATACTTATTGCTATAATTTTGCAACTTCACTCAGTGCTGATCACTTTATAATGAAGAGAAATCTGATGTCTGATCTGAAACTTAGATCTGATCAACAACTGAAAGATTTTGTGATCAACCGTTCATTTAAAGAATAAAGACATAGAAACAGTTTTAGGACCACCTAATTACTGATTAAGTCCTGGACATAATCTTAAGGAAGTAAGCTCACGAATAAAATGGGAAGAGAGGAGGGTGGAGTTTGTTCAATTTCTAATTAAAAAATCAGTATTGAATATAATGATTTTTTGTTTGATCTGTCTTACTTACTTACTTTGTCTTACTTACTATAGCCCACCCAAAATTTAAGAATAACTGGTTAATAAAACCAGTATGATATAAGTTATTTCACACCTAAAACTAACCTGAAAAACCTGAATTGGAGTGTCACAGGGAAACAATGTGTTTACCCATGGCTTGTATGGCTATGAACAAATCAAATGTAACCACCAGCAAAGACACAGATCCTGTTGCATGATAAAACTTTTAAAGTCTTTTCACAGTAGTTCTTTGGTTCACTTGGGAGTATTGGGGTCCTACTGAATACTTTCTAAATGCACTGGAAGAAATATCCTAATGAAGATGCCAGTTAGCTCAGGTGCTTTACACTTTGATTTTAGTCTCAGGTAAGTCATGTCACCTCTCACTCATGTTACCAAAAAAATCACATAAAATCACATTTACTGCAAGTGCTACTACTTTTCTTGCAATTTCAAAACACATACCAGGCTGAGGGCTGGTCTTATGCTTCTGAATTTTTTCTTTTTTAAACTTTGGCACTATACGAAACACTGTACTTCTATTGTTTCTTTTAGCATAATCCAGAGGGGGATCCTGCATGAGAAAAGAGGCATGGTTACCTTTAATCAAGAGAAAACAACAGTTAAATTATATGCTTATGATGGTAATTCATAATTTATCTCATAAAGTAAGACCTAAATTTACTTCTGTAAAGAATAATGTTAGAATATAACTCTACATATGTTTGAATTATTAAATATAAATTAAAAATATATCTTTCATTTATTTATTTATCAATAAAAATATTTACATTCACAAAAGGGAATAAAGCACCAAAAAAAGCACTAAGCTTAGAATGTTGTTCATAGAAATGATCCAGCATCACTACTGAAAGTGCCACAAGTGATCATGAAAAACTGTAATTTACTTTTCCCTATCAAAAAAAAAAAAATAATTAAGTTCAGTTAAAATCAGAATGTATTACTCAAACTTACCTCATCATCATTTGGTTGAAAAACATAATAAAGCCAAGGAATCTCAGCAAGTTTTCTCAACTCTATTTCCACACTGTGCAAAGCATCAGACAACAGTTCTTCATGGGGAGCTTCTAACTGCTGTTTATAAACAGGCCAGAAAAAATACTTTTAGTTTTAAAATAGAACTTTTCATTTCATGAGATTTAACATTTAAGTCTAAATATCTTGTAACTACACACAGACAGATGGCTACTTCATGGTGAGTGCCAACAAATGGTGAAGACAAATAATCTTCCGAAGTTAGACTTTCCCTGAGAGATGTGTGAGATCACCCTCATACGACATTTAGTATGAGAGATGATTGGTGCTCCTGAAATAAATCCAAAATAATAATTCTGGTATAGAAAGACCAGCAATTCAAGGCAAATTCGCCTCTTACAATATCTTGGAAAATCTTATTTCCAGATAAAAATTCACACTATGAATGAAGAAATAAAAATAAAGGATTTTTTATTTTTTATTTTATTTTATTTTATTAAATTTTTTATATGACAATGTTTTATTTCAGTGAGTTTAGATAATATTATGCTGTTGAAATGAAACAGTCTGTCATACTTTTTTCTTAATGCATTTGAAAACTGTGCTCAGCTCCAGACTGGAAATGCTTTTTAAAATTAAAGAATAGACACAGTGTAATTGGAAAATATCTAGAGAAAATATAGTATTTTTAATTTTTTCCAAACTGTATTCCAGCCATAAGCATCTGAGAGATTCCACAAATCAGGTTCATTGTTCTATCTTGAACAGCCTGGTCTCATAAAAGATGTCCCTGCTCCTGGCAGGGGAGTTGGAACTGGAAGATCTTTAAGGTCACATCCACCTCAAATCATTCTGTGATCCTATGTTATTATCATTTCACTAAAAATTGTATTTTACCATTTGTTGTGATTTAATGCTCCTACAGTTGTATGAATTTGTTAATCATAGGTCTTGCAGGAGGTGGAAGGAACCACAGACTTGTTTTATGTTTATTTACGTTTTTTTTCTCTACCTCAGGAGCTGTAAGAGCAAAACTCAATTGCCAGTAAATGGCAGCCAAAGAAGCAGCTTACCAAGCGTCCTCGTTTAGTTGCTGGCAAGGGTTTAACCAAATAGTATAAGCACCAAAGACATGAGTTTACTGCTCTAAGAGCTTTGACCACAGGAAAGAGGGATGTGGGAGAAGTGAAGATGCCAAAAAATTCGAGCAAGATATGAAAGAATGTCTGTCATTGCCAGAGAAGGAATATCCTTAGAAGAACAGTTTATGATGGGAATGCTAATGCATCAAGCAACATCTTACACTTCAAGCAACATCTTACACATCTCTCTCTATTTTAATAGAATGAGGGACCAACATACAGGCAACTTCAGCATTTATAAAATACATGGCAATAAGGTTAACCAAGGTGCCTTGTTACTGTGACTGTGAAATACTCGTCTAAGCAAGCACAACGTCAAATGAGCACAATGGACACCTCTGGAATATTGTCTTGGTACCTTCCAAACAGCCTTTTTACTAAAAAAAGGGCCTGATGTAGCATCATGAAGACATTTGCACAACCATGATGAGAAGTAGAAGTACAACATGTAAAAATTCAGAAACAGAAAAATGAATCAAATTAAGCTTTGGAGCCTGAAACAAAGGCCCAGTTCAACAACACAATGAGATCAAAACCTGCTGCATAAAAAGTAATGTTTCAATGGGAAGGTTTCCATAATAACATTATTTCCAAACTGTCTCGATAAATTTCTCCAGTTCTAGTATGGCATCACGAACTTGAATGTTTTGTTCTAATTACTTCTGTAAAACAATTTTATTTTTTTTAATCTCTGTTTTAATTCCCTGCTAAATCTGAAATTTATGAGGTTAGCAATAGTAATTTCAAAAAAAAACCAGCAGGTGTTTTTTCGCTTTTCTTGGACAGAAATATCTAATGAAATTCCTTTTGAAAACACTGTAAAATAAAAAACATGTGAACCTGATCTTTGACTACTTCTATAACTTAAACAATTATTAGCCTTTAGACTATATTTACTTTTGGTTACTCTAAAATAGATTTATCACTTGTTTGTATGGTATGTGAACCTGCAGTAAGTATTATATCCTAAGTCAGCTAAATTAAAATATTCCTTTTAATATCCATTTATAATTAAAACACTTATATAAAAAAGCTAGTAATGAATCTGCTTTTGAATATACAGAAAATGTTACTGCTCCTACTGAGTATCTCCTTAATGTAAAACTGGATCAGCATAGAAAACCTGACATCTTTCTTCTCTTCACAATGTCAATAGACAAATTTTCTAATTATACATCCAGTTACAATTGTTGAGAAATCTTAATCATTTTAGGCACAAACACTTGCCAAAGAAGATGTGAAGTCTTCAAATACCATTATGGGTTTACTGAATATTTGCCAGTTAAAGATTATAAAATAACTCCTGACAGATATTAGAACAAGAGTGATATTTACTTGCCCAAATTAGGTCTGTAGAAGTTGATTGTATGAGTCTAAACATTTCTCACCGCAGGCTCCCCTTAAACTCTGAAAATGGTCACATAATAGTTCTCCAGAAGTTCTCTTAAATGCTGTATCTCCAGAAGACAAATAATTTTTTTCTAACATAGGCCTCCAAGACAGCTGAGTGTGAATCAGCCTCCCAAGGATACCTATTTTTCTCCACTGACTTAACAAGAAGAGTCCAAGCAATTATTTTGCTATCTGAGGTGACACAAGGTAGATGCCAGCCTTAGAGACGATTTCAAAACTCATTCTGATCCAACCACAAATGCAGTATAATCATCTCCTATCAACCTTGCAGAGCTTCTTGCAGTATGCCCTCACTTCGGCACCAATTTACAAAAGTCAGCAAAGAACAAATCACAGATGATCTGAATGAAGGAATAAAACCATGTGCTTTGTGACCTTACCAAAGGAACTCTTCCTACTAGCAGAGATTCTGTTTCATTGTGTAAGGCCTTCACATTGACAGCTATCTCCATGGCAGTGTTTCTGGTAAGGCTCTGGGGAATAAGAAGCATAAACATTCTTTGAAGTGAAGCAAGTCAGACTGAGATAAGTACTTCCACCTTACAGCACAGATCTTAAATGCCTTCTCCTAGGAGAAATACATCAGTTTAACTCTAAATTGACAACCTGTTCAGCACTGAGAATAGAAAGCAAAAATGTAGTATCTATTTGCTGTCTGTTCCTCAACTTCATTTAGTATGACATTAATACAACCCTGAAGATCATCAGGTGATCAGCCACCATATCAATCCATATATCACAAAGACCAGCAGAAAAGTTGTGAATTTAATTTAACAATGACTATTGACTTCAACTTTTCACCTTATCCTCAGCAGAAGCAAGCTACTAAACATACTTCAAGAAGCAAAGGTCAACTAACATATTTACCCTGTGTCAATTAGGTCAGATATGGACAGCCTTTAACTAATTAATCAGTTCTGGGTCCAATCCCAGAAAACACCCAGATTATCTACTGTGAAGAGAGAAACCAGAAAACTTACTTCCCCTCAGCCCCTTGCCTTCTCTGTATAGCACTTGGATAGCAATTAAGCATGAAAATTTCTGTGAAAGCATCCACAGAAATGACCTTTATGGTTGATCTGTTAGGTTGTATGACCTAACAGATCTGGTTCAGCCTCTGGCTGAACCCTCCACCCTCTCTGAGGATATGCCTGCACAGTACCAGGTAGGGAGGACACTGGAGAATGCAGAAACTGCATCTTCTGCCTTCTCATCCAACTTGTTTTCAAATGTGGACAGGGGACAGTCCCCATGCCACAAATTTATGCATCCAAATGTTATAGCTTGTCTATATAAAACTCTGTTCTTCTTTACCTCAGGAAACCTTGGGTTGGCTTTATTTAATGCATGTGAACATGCATTAACAGCATGAGCAAGCTCCTGCTCCAAGAGACCATGTACTTTTGCTGCTTCACAGATCCTACAAAAATATTTAAAAAGGAGAAAAATGTTTCTTAATTTCTTTAAAGAATGATTTTTGTGTACACAACTTCATCAGATGAGAAAATACACAAGAACATGTTTCACAAAAGACTTAGAAAATTATGGTCCTTTATAACAAAAATTGAAAGGCGAGGACTGCTTCAAGCAATATAGCACCTCATAGAAATTATATCCATCACATAGATTATTTATGATGCTACAAAATACTGAGATATATTTATTTGTCTTAGAACACTAATGCTATATAAAAATGGACAAAAAAATGTTGGTCCTATTAATTCAAGCAAAACTCTAGAGGAAAATTCTAGCACACTGCAATAACTTACTTGAAATTATCTTAAAACCCCTTACACCTATTTCACAAGACATATCCTTCATATATGACATGAAAATTGGCTGCAGTCATTTAAGCTTATGGGAGGTCCAACTGTAAGTACAACCTCCAGACCATCTCTAGAATGGTGAAGTTTTTAAGATGTCTTGGCTAAACTTCACTTTGGGTAATTGATAAACTAAATTATTTGTCTATGACTGCAGTATAAAGAGAGTATGTAGCTCTTCCTTTCTTACATTACTGCAGATTTTGATGCTAAAGATAATTAGTTGTTATGATAAAATGAATAGCAGCTTTATAGTTCTGATTTTAAAAAAAAGTTTGTATTTATCTCAGCCTATGTGAATGACTGCAGTGTCCATCCTGCTGACTTCTAGAGTTGACTTCTAAAGGGCTTTTTCCAATAAGTCCCAATTATATTTTTGCTTTGTCATAGAAAGAGAGGCTTTTACTTTTTTGCAGAGGCTTTTTCTTTTTTCTTTTTGTTTTTCTTTTTGAGAGTTTTTTTTTTTACGGGGAAAAAAAAAAAAACACTAAACCACATAAATAAAGTTTAAAAAATACATAGAAAAAGCACACAAAAATGTTAAGCCTTAAAAATAAAATAAAATTTTTAAATTAGAAAAAAACCACTGACACAGCGGCAACCAAACTTTAATCAAAAACCAGGGAAAAAATGTACACTTCTAAGTCTCTGTACGGATTTTCATTGATAATTCAGTCAAAGTGTCTAGGTTGCCAGTCCAATTTATTAATTTTACTGTACCTGGTAATAAGTTCTTCTGCAGCTTGTGAGCACAACTGGATCTGTGCAACTTCTTCTTCTGTAGCCAACTCAACAGCTTGCTGAGGATACAAGGGAGATCGAATGACAGGTTTGCAGGAATCATACTTCTGTTTGTCCTCCCAAGACTTCAGGGTGTTTTCAAAGGCCTAATCAAAATGAGTTATACATTCAATTGACAGCACTTGAGAGTATTCTTTTTCACTAAAAAATTTAATTTTACATTTTACATAAATTTAAAATATATATTATTTTAGTTAAAATCAACTTAACAAATAAACAGGTGCTTGATTTAATTTTATATAAATAATACTACCTGATTAAATAATAATTTTACACCTAAAGTTTTTAGATTTAGTATAGAGAGTAAGTAACTTCTGAAAGCTTGTTCTCTGTCTCCTCTCCATAATCTTCAAAATGTATCTTCCAAACAATAAGAACACAAAGACAGTAATAATGATTGGACTCAATGACCTCAAGAAGTATTTTCCAACCTAAATAATTCTAGAATTTTGTGATTCTTTAACGCAAGCACATTTTGTGTGAATAGCAAGATTGAAATTCAAAAATACAGAATTCAAATGTTAAACATGGTGGAGAAAAACCAAAATTTACTAAAATAGAGTTCAAATTCCACCTGAACTCCACCCTAAATTCAGGATCCAGCTAGTGGATGGAGAATTGAGGGGCAGTTGTACCTTTCACATGCTTGTCCTAGACAAGCATGAAGTCTCCAGTGGCTTTGTGAGTAGGTTGTACTTGTGTCTTTTCTGACTGAGATTGGCTCATAGGAGAGAGGTAGGATTGGTAGGACAGAGAAAGAAATCTACAGAAAGCTGTTCTGGAAAATGGACAGTATAGAACTTCACTATTTATGCAACTGTGCTAAAATTTCCAGTATGTGACTGTTATAACACACCTAGAGAAAAAGAAAGAAGCAGTAGAAGGGAGGGAGGGAGGAATAGATAAAATGTTGACCATACTTACTTTATATTAATAGGAATATAGGATTAGCACTAATAAGACACAAAACTTTGCCACTTATATAAAATAATAATTCTCTATCCAGCTCATTATAGAAATTATATCACTGTAAGTAATTGTATGAATTATATAAATAGTAATAAAACATTTTTATAAGTACTGTTTTGTTTATGCTATAACTGAAATAAATTATTACAGCAACCAGTGTTAGCAATGGTAGTGCTTTCTGCAACATACTCTGTCTCGTGTTAGCATCTGAGCTCTGTTTTTATGGATGATCTTAATAACTCCCGGGGGCTGGATCCATGCCTCTCCATCGACTTGCACTGGAACCCCTTCATCACCAAGTATGGTGATCTTTACTGACCGGCACTGGAAAAGAACAAACATGTTATTTTACAGGGCAATAAATACTGGTGAGACTGACAGGCCACCTGTAATCTGTTGATTACAAGGAGCTGTGGCTTCTCTCCAGAACTGTCTCAGGAATTAAGCTCTCCTATACTTCATTCATCATTGAAGACAATTTTTTACCCACTAAAAGCAAAACAATGTCAGTGCTTTATTAATGTATAGGGTGGTGATCATCGAGAGTCCCACTACTTGCCAGAATCCCCAACTGATGCCAGCCATCCTGCATGCTTGCAAGTAAGCAACAAACCTGAGCTATCCTGTGGTGCTGCAGTTTGATGACTCTGGACACTGCCATCTGCATGCTGCCAAATACAGCAACAACTTCTAAGATCTTATCATCAAACGAAGGAGCTCCAAATATCTGTGAGGAAAAGAAAGCATTCCATTTTGATTGCAAATCTAGTGCTTAGGTTGCAATGAAACACAGATTCATTTACAGATTTGTTTTCAACATTTAAATGCTCTAAATTCTTTACTGCAGAATAACTATAATGTTTTTTCCAAAGTCATAGGAATAAGATACCCAGACAACAGGCAAATATTGTTTAAAACAGCAATACTGATACCATTTGAAGTATCTGGATGACAGGGCATATCCTTATATAGGAAAGATGGCATGTTTCAGAATGCAAATTAAAAATTATTTTCAAGGCAAGATGAAAAGCCAATTGCAATCTCTGCTTGGGTAATGTACTTAAAATCTAAGAAGTTCTTGAAGGTAAATGCTTTCCCAGAAATGCTTATCTGTTTATATTCTGAATTCTCTGGAAACCAACATCTGAGTCGATGCTCTGCTTTGTTTAAGAGAGCTTTAACACTGAAGACAATCTTGTTTGTGCTGCCTAGAATTATCCACTGTTAACAAGAAAACAACTTCTGTAGGGAACAAATGTCCTGTGCAGCCGAGGTGCTGAATTTCCACAGGCTCACACAAAGCACAGGAAGTCTGGCCATTTGGTGTGCTGCCAGGGAATTCAGCCTCAGGCTGGACTTCAGCTGGGTCTGGCAGGTGATATCATGCTAAGGTCACTTGGAGCTTGGCCATTTCATCTTGATATGCAATAGGGAGCAATGAGGGAGAAAAATCAGCAGGAGAAATTACTCCAGTAAAAGTTTAATGGGTAGGGAGGTCACCTCTCTGAGCACTACTTGGACTCCCTCAGCTGGCACTTTAGGCAGAGTAAACTGCATCAGTAACACCTGAGACTAGACTGGAGAAAATCACAGTTTCTCTCTCTGATTTTTTTTCCAGTTTCCATGGATTTTTTTCCATTTTTCAAAGGAATATATGAACATCTTCAAAAGAACCAAGATCATGATTCTGCTGTTGACGAGAAAAAGAGTGCAGAGCTCTTGATCCAGGAACTGACATTTACAGGGCTAGTTCTGGTTAGTTCTAGTTGTACTTGTGCTAAGAAAAAGTAGTTGTAGAATTTCATTTATTTTATGTTGCCATTTCAGCAAAAGGACAGGAAACACTCAACTAAGTCTTCTGTGGTGTCTCTCCACCAGTAATATCTGTACTGAAAACCAATATCTTTTTTTCTCCTTTCTTTTCTTTTAAAGGCAAAACAATCTCTTTGGATAAACATTCAAACTGACTCCTTTCCTGTTGCAGGTCATGTTTCCAGCCTGTCTTCTGGACACCGAAATACCATGCCTTAACAAGCCATGCTCATGCCAGTCAGGGTGCAGATGTTCTGCCTGGCTCACTGCCAATGTTTCAGCAAGTCAGAGCTGTCCAGGTAATGTCTTCCATTTGTCCAGACAACCAAAACCAGCAAACTTCAGACCACCACCACCACCACCAACTCTTGATGAAGAGTCATTCATTCAAGACTGAACTAAAGCAGTGAATTATGCTCCTGGCTTTGTCCAGAACAAACATATCACTCTGCTGGCACATCTACTCGCTAGAAGACTAATAATATCAGTAAAAATGCTCCAGGACACACACATTTGCTGTATACCAGTATAAAAGCTGGGACAGATCTTCTCTCTCACTGAGGCAGTACAGGGAGAAAAAAACCTCCTGAACAAGTGCTGAGGAAATGTTAGAGCAGCTTTCAAGTTCTGACTATGAACATGGATTATATATAAAAGCTTTAGATAAACATTGCCAAATATAAACAGAATTTCAATCCTCTGACATATAACAAAATTAAGAAAAGAACAGTAAAATATGTCTAAATTTCTTTGTTTACTTTTACATATGTGTATATATATGTGCACATATATAAAACATATATATATACATATGCAATTATATATGTATTATATAATATAAATGTGCAATTTTATATAATAGATATTACAATACGTTCTATTATGTTACATATGTTATATATAGGTATGTTTGTATGTATGCATTAAAAAATGAAAGGATAAAAAGTCACAAGAAACCTACAACCTTTTGGCAAAAGAGTCCTGGATTGTCTACATGAAAATCACAAGCCAGTTTGCAAGTACAGTTTTAGGTGATTCAGACATCACACACTAAATCAGGACATGCAGATTAGGATAATCTGCTAGTAATTACAGTTGGTGCACTGTGAGTGAAGTGGGTAGGGGCAGTAACAGGCTGTAAGGCATGTAAAGAACCTTATGGTGAAATGTTTCTTAGGAGTTGAAAGAAAGAAGGGGGAAAATGTACCTGAAAGTATTTTAAAGGCTCACTGAAAATAATATCCAAAAATGAGTTTACTACCCCCACTAAATTATCAATCACTATATGCATCAGTCTTCACTTTCTGAATCACTATCCCTCACAGCAAAGCTGTTTGAAGAACAGGAGGAAAATTAAGATATAGACTTTGACTGATTATCCTGTCTACCTTGCTTGTTGGTAAACTATAGCAAACAGAATAATCTATGCTTTGAGAAACCTTATTTACAGGCATCTGTAAAACAATATAGAGATAAATTACTTGTGCCTCTGTTTATAAAATTAATTTTTAAAAATATCCATAGAGCCATTTAAAAACAAAGTCATTATGCTTTATTATGAACATTTTGCTGAAATGGACATAACAGAAGACAATGGACAGTAAAAATTCATGGAATATATTTTCAATTAAAAAAAACAGCAAGACAATAGAGCTTGAACTGAAACATCCTCCTCAAATAAGAGTTATTATCCGAACTATATACTACTACTATTAAAATCAAGTGAGAGGAGCAGTTCATTATATTTCTTGCTGGTTTTGCCCAGAAGGTTAAGTCTATTTAATGCTACTTACATCATCTTCTTTGGTTCCTCCCCAGAAATTAGTCCCACCGGCATAGCTGGGAATGTTTAGCACAGCTATACCCTGCAGGCTTGGAAGGGGAATGTACTGTCCATCACACTGTAAGGGATAAAAGCTCCTTCAGTACATAAATAATACAATAAAGGTAATTAGTAAAGAGTAATTTTTAGCACATGAAGCTTCAACAGAGCTACCTCCATGCACTGAAGCGCCTCTAAAACAAACCTCTTCTTTCCAATCTTAGCACTGACTTTTGCAGAGGTGAAAAATATGTAGATTTACATGCTGCATTACCTACAAGCAGTGGTGCTCCATGAGTCTTAAAAGAAACATTTTCACATTTTCACATCCCTTTTATGAAATTTCTCATGCACTTTGACCTTGGTCTGTCCATCAAAGATTAAAAATCTTTTTGCAATAAGGTAACCAATCTCTCTGAGTGCACACAGTAAGATTGCCAAGGACATTACAAAAAGATTCATTTATACATTCAGGAACCAGTCTTCCATCCTATACCAGCATTCCCAAAATTGCAATTGCGACTTGTTATTTAGTCAAATCCATTTAAGTTAGGGGTGGGGAGGAGGGGGAGTGAGTGTCAAGAATATCCAAGAATATTTCTGGCATAGCCACAAACATGTGGTTAGCTGTCAGTGTCTGCATGTATTGTTGACTTCCTGTAAGAATAACTTCACTCTTGTCCCAGAAGTGCAAAGACAAATCTAGGACTGACCCCACAGGTGTCACCCTGGGAGATGGGAGTTGTTGATTTTGCAGTAAGAGGTGGCTCTTATTTCCAACCATCCAGTCTACTTCTTACTGCCTTACCTCCCAAAACAAATAAACAACTCCATGTCCTGCTCAACATGATCATGGCATGACATCAGTGTTACTTTTGACCAAGCGTAAGTTTACGGACATCAGTGAAATCACTCTTGGCTTACAGAGTACAACTGCCTGCAGGGGGAGGCACAGTGATCTCAAACCATTCCACTGGGAGTCAAAAGTGCAGTCCTGCAGCAGTGCCACAGGCATGGAATTGAAGCAAGTTAGAAACACAAGTCCCAGGTGTCACTTTATGGACCATGAAGTTGCAGGTCAAGCTGCCTTTAATGAAGGTTGCTAGATGACTGCACATTAACAGTCCACAGAAAGATCTTAAAATTATACAAATGAAAAAGAAAATCTAAATAAATAAGGATGAAATCTGTAGCATCTTTATCAGGAAGAGAAAGAGATGCAAAATATTTCCAGAATGTGCTTCGTGCTATCTTTTTGTGATTTAATCTTAGCAGAAAGACAGACTGTTACATTTTAATCAAGATGTGTCAGTATCCAAAATATGGTATGATATTAATAGATGCTGCACAGCAAAATAGATTTGTATTACAGTAGAAGTCTGCTTCTAGTGCCTGAATATGCAGACATATGCAAGACAACAGTAAATGTGAAATTTTTATTTGCTGACTTACTTACAGGAATATTTAAAAAAAAAATTATGGAAAGGTCAGCAATATTATTGAATCTTATTTGAATCCAATTCAAAAGATCCTTAAATTAGAATTCTATCTGCAGTATACATAACGTTCTCTCCTGGCATTATATTTGCTAACTACTGCATAATTCCTTGATAATTACTCAATCCTTAGCTAACAGCAATCTGCCACTACCAGACAAAATCCTCCTAAATCTCAGAGTGAGAAGAGCTCCAGTAACATAAAATTATTCTTTTAACTTAAAAAGTTACCCTCATATAAATATCTTAAACTTCTATATGAAATGTTAGCATGAAATAAGTATATATGTTCTCTGTCAAAATCCACCTTAGATATTCTTTGGGTGAAAAGAACAGTAACCATCCTGTAGTCTTTTTCTGCATTTGGGAATCATTTATATCACCTTTAAGTTCCCATTTCGAAGACATATTTTATGTTAGAACTTAAAAGCCAAAAAAATAACTATGTTTAGACATGGAATTTGTTGTTGCTTTGATAATATCTTGCTTTTTTTTTGTGAATACTAGAGAAAGTCTCTACTGATGTAGCTGGGCTTCTTGTGATGCATATTCAGAATCCCCGCTCTTTTGTCAGTAATATTTTATTATTTGCAGCCTCTTCCTATATGTGTAGCTTTTAGAGACTTTAAATTGAACCTGAAGGATTAAGCCTCCTTATCTCTTTTCTTCTTGTTATTTCATGGTCATTTCTGTGGTTGACCTTAAGACCTGGTCTATCTTTTGATACAGTGAACATTAAGAAATATATCCCACCTACACAATATATCATAATTTTTCAACACAGTAATTACAAAAACATAATTTTGTGATCTTAAAGTACTGACATTTTATTCCAAAACATGACTTGGAAGACCAACTTTTACACAGCACATCTTTACACAGTGCCATTGAGGTCAGCTTGGGTTGATGTAAGAACGATAACAGGGTTCAAAACTAAACACTAATTCTTCACTGCACATTGAGCAAGCAGCTCTCTCCATAAATAAAATTTACCTCAAGTTGAACTTTTTGTTCTAAGTTCTTGTAAGTTCTTTGCAATAGCTCTTTTGTGCCAAGAACTCCATACCACATCATGTTTTTCGTCCGACTTCTGAAAGCAGGCAAAACAAGATTCACATATTGATATACACATATTACTGTGTCTTGTATTTATAAAAAAAAAAAATAAGAAATTCATATAAAGGGGTAAAGGGAAAAGAAAAGAGTGGAAACATCTTGGCTCTGTTACTGACAGAGTAATTATATTACCTGCATTTTTCAGGGTGCTCTTCTCGCTTGTTATTAAATTCTAGTGAAATTTTTGCATCTAACCCAATTCCAAAGTAGTTGTTCATGACACATTTTTCTGAATAACCCTCCCTGTAAGAGGCAAAGAGAAAATCAGGTGTACATTTGTACAGAACCTGGATACACAAACATCTTTGACCAAAATTGTGATTTGTCACAAAACAGAGTAAGAACTAAAATACTTCAAGAGATCTTTCCTCTAAATCTTCCTCAGTAAATTGGTTTGGGCTGGAAAATCCAGCTCTGAAAGATTAGCATCCTCCTCCTCCAATTGAGCAAGGGATAAGTGAGCAAATGTCTCCCCTTATTTTCAGCTGCTGCTGCAAAAAATTGCACTGCTCATTAACTAACCCAGTACAATCCCACTTGTTTTCAGACATTGAGGACTACTGCCAAACGATGGCAAACAAGAACTTCATAATGCAAAAAAATAAGACACTACAAAAAAGTAATAAGGATGCCCTTAGGGAAAGCAAAATAGTACATTTATAAAAAAAATATTTCTTACAAGGAATCTGGATCCGGGTCAATAAACGGCGTAGCACCAAATGGATCGATGTTTGCTAGCAACATTTTGCTAATAATTGAACTTCCTGCAATGGAAGCAGCTAGACCAGCCCTTAAACCTGATTAGAAAAGAAAAAAAAAAAAAAAAAAAAAAAAAAAAAAAAAAAAAAAAAAAAAAAAAAAAAAAAAAAAAAAAAAAAAAAGCAACAAAACAAGACAGAAAGAAAATAATAAAAAAAAATTGTATTTGATAAATAGACAAACATATAATATAAGCCACATTCTGAGAAACAAAATTTATTAAATCTGTACAGGGAAAAATTGTGATTCTATCTCAATTTTTACTACAACTGATTATCTTTTCAGGTCTTTGGCTTTCTTAAGCAGAAAGGCAGCTATGCTGCATTGTGGTGGCTCTCTCAGGTACCACCATGGAGAAAGAAAAAAAAAAAACCAAAAAAAAATTTAGGGTTTCAGGCCAACACTTACTAGCTGGTATAGTAACCAAATGGGTGACCTAATATCCAAAAAGACTGCTAGAGCTTTTCATTCAGTTTAATCTTCATCTCCTAACTGTCCATGATTTTTCTTTTGTCCCATCCTTTGGAAGCATACATAAGGAATATTCTTACCATTTTTATAACTGGCAGAGCCATAGTTTAACTTAATTTGTGAAAAGATCATGGCCTCAACATGCCTACTTCGACTAATATCAATTTCACTCTACAAAACACTCTGTAATTCATGCAAACAAAGCAAAGTACTAACAGCTTTCACTTAAATCTGACTAAAGAAAAAACTAAGCTTGGTTCCACCATGTTTTAGCTATACTAATAAAGTTAATTAAAACAGAGTTTTACTAGTGTTCTCTAATATTAATTCCATTTGTAGCAGAACAGATAATTTTTCATCTGTCAATTGAATTTAGGTAAGAACAGTTTTCCAACTGTTTTACAGAGCAGCTTTGTGTGGTTTCAGTTATCCACTTCCAGAGAGATATCCACAGACAGTTCTTATTCAGAGAGTTGAACTTTACACAGCTTTGTCCCTCAGCCTCTTCATCCTAATGCATTGATTGGGATAAATGATAGAAGAATTTGGGGGTACCTGTGGATGAAAACTTGGATGTGACCTGGCAATGTGAGCTTGTGGCCCAGAAAGTCAAACATGTCCTGGGCTGCATCCAAAGTAGCACGGCCAGCAGGGCGAGGGAGGGGATTCTGCCCCTCTGCTCTGCTCTGGTGACATCCCACCTGCAGTGCTGCATCCAGCTCTGGGCTCCCCAATATAAGAAGGACATGGACATGCTGAACAAGTCCACTGAGGGCCCTAAAGGTGATCAAAGGGCTGGAGCACGTCTCCTGTGAAGACAGGCTGAGAGAGCTAGGGTTGTTCAGCCTGGAGAGGAGAAGGCCCCAGGGAGAATTTATTGTGCCCTTTCAAAATATAGAGCAGGTTTTTACAAGAAAGATTGAGACCTTTCACCAGGGCCTGCAATGACAGGAGAAAGGGCAGTGGTTTTAAACTCAAATAGTATAGGTTTAGATTGGACAAAAGGAGGAAAATGTTTGGGATGAGGGTAATGAGACATGGGAATCAGTTGCCCAGAGAAGCTGTATAAGCCCCACTACTGCAAGCATCCAAGGTCAGGCTGAATGCTTTTCTGAGCATCCTGACCTAGTGAAAGGTGTCAATGCCCATGACAGAGCACTGTACTAGATCATCTTTAGAGGTCTCTTCCAACCCTAACCATTTGGCAGTTCTATGATTGTGAGTCTTACTTTTCACCCTCCGGAATGAAATGCAACATTTCTGCCACTTCTGGTGTTGTGCCAAATGATCAGAAATATTCTACATTTTTATGCATTTTCTCCTATACAGTATCACACTAAGATGTGTATGTCAGTTCAAATGAATTCAGGGCATGAAATAAAAGTCATTATTTGACAGCAAGCTTACCTGGGCAGATAATCCTCGTGTTAAGTACTGGGAGGTTTTCCTTGCTTGCTGCCAAAGCTGGAGCAGAGAAAGAACCTGTCTGAGAATGGATACCTCGGCTTGTACGTCTGTCAGGAGATCTTGGTGCAGTTTTAGCTGTGCAGAAAAAACAGAAGTAAGAACACTAATTAGACCTATTATGACATTACCAATACATAATTTTTACAGCCCTGAAAATACAACAGAAGCATTAATTTAATCTTGTACCACTCCATGACAAAAGTCCTTCTCCCTTACACCACAGTTTTTCTTCTAAATACAATAAGAAAACTCAGAAACAGATGAAGTGACAAACAGCAATTAGAATGAGCAAGTGTGCATGGCACTTCACATGACGAATTCCCAATTTATACTTCAAGCTAACAGCAGAAGTATTATATATATTAAATGCAAATATGTTAATAGAATGTATTATATCCATCTTAAAATGCAACAGTATTTAACACTGCAGTAAGCTTCTGATAAACATATTACTGAAATAATTAAATTTAAATTTAGATTTCATCTATGTTTACTTATAAGTATACACATATTATACAGTATATTATCATTTATAACAATTTTAATATAGGTAGTTCCATGGCCTGTAGGTTAGAAAATATTTCTCATCAACATCTACACTATTTTCTTCAGTCAGTTAAAATGGGCCCATGCCTGCATCAGATGCTGAAAAAAAATCACAAAAAACTCTGAAATCTTTATTTACAGCCAAACTAAAAACTGCAAGGAAAGAGAAAAAAGCCATGTTCACCTTTGTCTTCTGCATTTAGAGAGATTGTGGGGGGCATCAGTTTCCAATCATATTTTTTCACAGAAAAACTCAGAAAACAAACAAGCCAGCAATTTCCCCAAATAATTAACTTATTTATTAAAATTCTTTGGAAGCTGGATCAGTGAAACCTTGACAGGTATCAATGTTTAGTAGCTGTTATTGACAAAGGCTCAGGAAAAGGAAAGGGAAGAAAATCAAGGGGAAAGAGAAGATATTCACAAAGAGTAACTGGAAGCTCAGTGAGGCCAGTTATCCTTTGGCTGCCTCTGGAGGTGACAATGAAGGATCGGCTTTGCAGAGGGCTGACCTGGGGTGCAGTCATTTACTTTCCTGGCAGAACTGGTTTCATGCAGTCTCAGAGAATATGCCAGTGCCTGCTTCAGCCTGAGGAAGTTAATCTTTGTGCAATTCACCCCCATCAGACACCGGTACCCCAAGGAAAAAAGTTTGGGTATTACCAAATGCTTTGTTACAGCATTTCCATGCGCATGTAGAAAACTCTGGCACAACAGATGGTCACAGACAGACACTACTTGGCTATCTCTGCTCCAAATTATCTCACATGTTAAAACTACTTCAGCTTAGGACAACACCAAACTTTACCATCTGAAGAAGCTCAGAACAAAAAAAAATAAATTATTTCAAGATAATGTGATTTTTCCTCTCAAAAGATGAAAACTAATACAGCAAAAATAGAATTAGTAGGACTAGCACCAAGACAACAGCAGGGAAACAGCACCAGGAATGTGGTGGGAAGCATAGAATGCATCCTTTTCAGTGGCAGGAGTGAGACAAATCAGGTCATGTCAATCATAACTTAGCCTAAGAGTAACATGGGTGTACTGTATGAAGATACTAATGGAAAGAAAATGTTGAGTGGGAAAATCTAGAGATAAAAGGAATAACTAGAACAAGAGTTTAGACATTGTGTTCACATCACTTCAGGCCAGGATTTGCCCATTGACAGGAATTTTTTAAAGTTATGATAATCTAACATAGAACTGTAAGTGGAATGGCAAATTCTTCACTTTCTTGTATCCATGAGTAAGATGACACACCTTTCTGAATGACTTGCTGAAGTCAAACAGAAATTATTATACGCAGGACAAGGAAAAGTGGGTAAATTTTTCTGGATTGTTTTATATTAAAGGACTGACCAAGTGGACTAAAAGTCATCTCTTTCTGACTTTAACAGCTGCATAACAGCCACAGCAGTTTTCACAAAATGCTACAACATTGCATGGTAGCAATACAACACATTGATATGTATAAATGCATGAGAAAACACTGTAATAATGTGAAAAAAAAAAGGAATAAAACCAGCAAGTGACATCTAACAAGAGTCATTAAATATTTAGATGAATGTATTAACATAAGAAAAAATATTATCTTCATCAAATGACCAGGAAGATCCTTGGAGGGTAAAATATAATACTTAGAAGAAAATTTACATTCATTTTTCATAATACTACTGAAAAATTCACAACAGTGTTCACACAGTCTGTTCTCTCTGTACTTGCAAACAAGGCAGTTGTATTAAATAGGAAAATCAGCAGAGCAGCTGTTCTTTATTTGACAGATGAGACTCACGGGAATAACTGCAATAAAGATAAACTTTTGCTGTGAATGCTCTGATAAAAACAACAGAGCCCTAATGAGTAAAACTGATGTTTCAGTGCAGATAATTGAATTCATGTTCCATGCTTTGTCCCTAAACATTTATTGTCCAGTGACATCATTAATATGCACTCTATTCCATACACATAAGAATAATACAGCTCCCCATTAGATGCAGAAATTATACCATCAAGAAACAAGGAGTTCAATAAATTTCTAGACCTCAAATCTTTATTATACAGTTATGGCAGTAGGATTGGATAATTTGTAGGGCTAGCATCCTCTATCGGCTGCTACTGAAAAGGGACAACCAAAAGGCATTGATTCCTATACCTAAGAGAAAATAAAACTGACCAGTGAAGAGACAATCACTGGAGAAAGCCTGATGTGTTTTTGGAGAAACCGTGAGATCCTGGGTCAACAGCCCAGTGTCTCATTTCCAAAGTAGGACTTACAGACACAGCAGCAGCTTCAGAGCAGAGCCTTGTGAGGACAATTTTTGAGGATTTTAGTGTGGGTTGGGGTGAAAAAAGGAGATGCAAATCCCAAAATACTTCTCTCATTTTAACCCAAGAAGTTGCTCACCAAGCATCTAGAGGATCAACTTTGATACCTACCAGCTACCATTGTTTCTCTATGACTCACAGATCATCTTGTGGCCTCACCAGGAGTGTATCATTGTCCATTTTGATAATATAGAAAAGACTGAAATTTCCACTGCTAAGATGCAGCTTTCCAAAAATTTCTATGTAGCTTGAGAATCTCAGTCTACAACTGAGACATGCTATTGCCACCATCACCGAGGCTCTAGTCTTTGCTCAGGTTCATGTAGAAAGGTGAGTGTAAACACTGGATTAAATTCAGGCATTTCTCTCCCTAACAAGTGCCTTCTCAACTTTGTAAATGCATTCCACAAGACTGTTCATCTATTATTTCCCAGATTTTCCACTTAACTTTTATTTATTTAAATCTATTAGAATTTGTGATTAGTTTCCAGTCAAACAGGATGCTAGTATTTCTAATTACAGAACTAACTATGCTCCAAATACAACTAAAAGGAGATGGAATATTTCTGTTTCATTCCTAAATTACTCACTTGATGGAGACTCAAGTTCCTTTGTATCTTCCTCTTTTTCCTCTTCTTTGGATTCATCCAATTCTTTGCTGTACTCTACTGGAGATTGGTTCACTTGTTCTTCACTATGAGCATTCTGCTCATCCACAACTGTTATTAAGAGAAAAGTCAAAGTTTCAAGGATTCTAAAGAAAAACTGCATACATTGAAATAACCACTTTTTTGTAGCTTTTAGTTTTAAAATATCAACAAAAGATTTCTACTGTCAATTCAGTGGAAAAGTCAGCCAGTTCTTTACCAGCTGATAAAGATTTGCTGTCATTTTGTGGAGGCTAATAGTTAAAAGAAACGCTTCTTATATGTGCACACACATATACAGAAAAGTAGTCACACCTGCAGAGTCATCAACATTCAAACAAGCTGCATTTCTTTTCCTTGCAGCTTGTAATAAGCACATAATATTATCTATGTAAGAATATAGGAATCAAATTTTATAATGAAAACTTATTCCAGTTAGACAAACAAACAGACATCATTATCCTATCCTATTCTACCAGTCTGGATCAAAATGTTGCTGATGTGCACCTTTTTCTGCTTGTTCAATGATCTGCCTCACAGCCTTCTTTAAGCTGTTTGCTCGGAGCATTAACTGTTGCCTTGGTTTGAAGAGCTTCTGGGAAGACTTTGAGACACACTCTGCTAATTGCTCTTTACTTTCAGACAAGGATTCTTCACTTGAGAACTCCTCTGGTTCTTCTTCCACAATGGGGGGAGCAATGCCTGGGAGAATGGGAGCAGCCTGGGCTTCTGTGTGAAGAGCCTGGAGCAATAGGTCCAGCTTTTCATTTAGCTCTGAGCACTAAGACAAAGTGGAAAAGACACACACACAGTAAAAGAAGTTCCACAGTGAACATGTGAATATTTTCAGGAAATATAGTACTAGATTACATTTGAAACTGCAGGTGTCATCAGTGTCTATGTAATTCCTTGTGCAAAATCCAAAACAAGGTTCAGTGTTTCAGAATATCAGATTATGAGTGGGTCTGCATGGGCTTTTTGCAGACCCTGTGACATTCACTCAGATTAGAGCAATTATAATACAAACCCCCTACACTTAGATTCAAAAAATACTCCATGCTAAACTCAGCCTGCCCCATAACTGTATGGATTGCATCCTACCCCTCTCCCAATGACTTGCAGCACAGAAAACCACCAGAGGTTTGCCCATACATGTTTTTTCAGGACCCCAATTTTGAGAGGTATCTATCAGCTGTTAGACTGAGACACATGGGGTTTTTTTTGCCATACAACTGTATATTTTAGCAAGTGAGTTGTCACAGAGCAAATGGCTCAATCCAGAATCAGACTCTGTCAAATGCCTCTCCCCAGGACTAAGTAACTGTTCTCTCTAGGTACACAGGAAAAGAAAGGATTTTCTGTGCCTAAGAGAAAGAAAACACTCTCTGGCCTTGGATCAGTTAAAAACTAATTTTCTAAAATGTGCACCAGATAGAAACGTGAACCACAAATTGCCACTTAGAAAGTACATTTTCTGACTCTGGATTGCCAAGGATTTTGTTTTCTTCTTTTCAGCTCATGTAAATTTTGTATCTCATACCAAATCCTTCTGTTGTTTTCTTTCCCAATGTTTTTGCAACATGAGCTCTGTATTTTGCAGCTTAAACCACTATTTTTAACATTGTGGTCTATCTCCCCTTCATTCTTGCAGCATACTCTTCATTATCCCATTGTTTTCCTGTAGCTAACTTAATCCCTAGAAGTATAACTAATGCAAAAAGAAATCCTTTTATCTCTATGTATGGTACCATGAACTTTATCCTTTATGAAGAAAGAAAGTGTAAACAGTTTAAAGAGATTTCAGAGTTTAAAGGTGGTTTGGAAATAATTAACTCTATGCAATAAAAAGAGAAGAATTTTGAACCCATTGGTTGAAATAAAAGCCAAACTAGAGCAATGTGAAAATTAAACATCCATGAGCTATAAACCTTAAGAACCCAACAACTTTAAACCTGAATGTAGTCATAGTCTTACTTTAATGGCCATGGCATCAGCTTCCTCCGCATTTTCCATTGGTTTTTCATAAGTCTTCCCTATTTTGGCAACAAAATCCTTTACAGTTTCACATAATATTCTTCAGGTAAAAAAAAGGAGAGGGAAGAAATCAAATGAAATTAAATATATATGTTTTGAATATTTAATTCTTATGGCAATTTATTTATATGCACACTCCTATGAATCATTCTTACTGGAAACTGAACTCCATGATTATACTTGCAAATCAGATGACACTCTTTTCCATAGCTTCCAAAATTGAACTGATAAGCTTTAAAACAAAGCATATCAGCTTTTTCACTTAACCCTTGGCACACTTTATATCTCAGCCTTTTATCTGAAATAAACATGACTGATTTTATCCACTCCCTTGCTTGTATACCTTCCCTAGGAGAAAACTTAGCAAACTTGCATTCCCTTTGGTAACTTCAAACGCAGTCTTGAAATTCACATGCAAAGTTGGAACTGAAAAATGATGGAGAAAATCTACTGACTTTAAGGAAGCACTTCTTAGATGAAAGCATATGGCCACACACATCCCATTGCACAGCTCATGCTTTTGAAGCATATCTGCACAAATTACAGTGGCTGCAACGAATTTTCACTGCATAAATCCAAAAAAGACTTGGTTCTTGTTAATGGTTCTTGTTACTGGTTCTTAGTCACTGCAGACAGACAGCAAACTTACTAATGAGGTGAGGATAATTACTTACTACTGTTCATTTTGGTGTATTTTTCTGATAAATTAAACAGATTTAACGAGGTACAGCACCAATTTAGAATCTGGAGTTAATAATATCCTGCAGTTTAATTTTCTACATGTGCTATGTATAGTTTAAAAATAAAATTTTGTTAGCTTGCTTTCATGAGAAAAAAAAAGGTGTGATGACATTCAGAGGTATTTTTAAAGATTCTATGACTGGTCTTTTGCATATTGCAAAACATAAGATTTTTTTTTTCATAGAGAAGGTATACACAGAACAGTTCTGATTTCAGATTATGCCCATGATTTGTCAAATTTATCTCATTTCAAAATGTTTCAGTTTGGGGAAAAAATCCCATTAATGTCCTAGATCAGCATTGAACTAAGGGCTACAACAAAGCTACCTAAGTTAAAGCTCTGCTTCATACTGGTGAAATTGTTTGTCCTCTAAATATATGCTTTACAAAAAATAGCCAGAAGAAATGCAGTGTGAAGGAGATCACATCTATGCATTAGTAACAGTAAGTTTTAACAGTAAGCCGTGCACTGATTTGGAATGATTTAACAACATTTTACATAGATATTGCGCAATTACTTTTTAAATTTAGTATTAAGCCATCCATTACAACTGTACCGTCTAAAAATTTTGCAGAAAAGAACATCCACTCTAAAATATATAAATCAAGATATATTAAGCCAAGCCAGTTGGCCATCCATAAGAAAATCAGGCTTAGACAGAATGCTATTATGGTGATGATGTTACACAAGGAATTTATCCCCCACATAGTACATAAAGCTGATTGACTCACTTGGCAGAGGATATGACAACTGAATGCTGATCAGAATTGAGAATTTTTGCAAGATGAGCAGCAACTGAATCCTCATAAGCAGATATCTGAAAATAGAGAGAAAAGAATCTTCAATTTCCATACATTCCAGCAGTTTAACACCAAGTAGTGAGTTTAAACACCACAAAAATAGCAGGATTTCCATTTCAGATCTAACACAAGAGCAATTGTCTGACAATGAAGATTCTATGCACATACTGTATTTTTTGTATCAGATGTTTAATATTCAAAGTTAGACTGCATCGGAGAACTTGATTCACAGTTCTTTTCCTCCTGTAGAGAAAACATTAAGTTATTTCTAGGCTAAAATCAGTCTTTGAGAAAGAAAAGAATCTACCTTCTCCGATTTATAACAACCTACATTTTTATAATCTAATATTTTTTACTTCTAAATTAAGCAAAGCTTTCCTCAAACAAATTGCCCAATAAAAACAAGTCTAAAGTTTGCAGTTATAATCTGGAATTTTCACTTTATTGTCAGGTGGGCTCTCACTTCCCAAGAACTATAACTGACAAAGACTGTCAAAATGGTATAATGTTATTAAAACCAGTCCTCAAGGAGCAAACCATTTAGGGCTTATTCTTTGCAAGAATATTAAAAATGACAAATTACAAAATACTCAGGAACTGGAGTACTGGATCAAAAATGCATCTTCACACATCATATCCTATCTCAACATAGCTCCGGATCCAATCCTCAATTTTAAAAGAAAATTCTAACAAAATTCCAAATCCGAAGCTAAAAATAAATGCAGTTCTGACAGCACCATTTAAGAATCTCTTGAAACCTCTTAGCATGCTTTTGTCTTTGATTTTGAGCAGGCAGATACACCACTTCAGTTTTTTTCTCCTAAAACCCAGCCTTCATTGTAGGACTCTGACATTGAATGAGTTTTCATTTCAAAGGAGAAAACAAAACATATGCATCTGATCTGTAAGAATGAACTACTGTTTTTCAAACATCAGTACAAGATTTCTGGAAACCAAGTGGAATTAGTCTCCTGAAACTGCAGGAGGAATGAAAGGGTAAAAGAAAAGAATCAAATATGTACTTCTATTTGCTTTTCAAACTGTGGTATAATCCGACACCTACTATAAGGTTAATTATTATTTTTTCTGAAATAGCCTAATTCAGTAAACAATGCAAAAAAAAACATTAAAAAAAGATATTTAACAGGGTAATCAAAAGCAAATGGTTTTGTCCAACTCAAGTATTGACAGATAATATAGCCTACAGAATACATTTTCCAAAAAAACAGTTTTATATGAGCAAGCAGTTCCTTCCATTTTCAGAAGGGGCTAAAAAAGTTTCAAAGCCAGAAATAACTGGAACAAAATGATGATGAAGACACACTTGAAAATTTTAAATTAGAGGCAATAAAGCCTTAATCTGCATTGCTGACACCAGAAGCAGAGCTGTGTGCAAAGCAACCCCCTTAAGATTCCAGCCTTTTTGTATCTCTATATCCAGCAATCCATCAAAGGTTATAACCTCCTTGCCAATTAAAAGAGCCTGAATTATTAAATTGTTCAAGAGACTGCTGATTAATTATGGCTTCTCAAGTACTTTTGAGCTACAGTTGATATGCATTAACTTTCTTGGGAATATATTATTTTCTCATTTTCAGTCAGACTTTTCATGCCAATTAATTTGATTAAAGCATCTCCTTCTCTCAGAATTGAAACCTTATCAGCTAGTACAAGCACAAATCTAGTCTGGAAGACAGACTTAGCTTGTCTTTGATGATGCTTAGGATTTTGAGCTCTCTCAATGAACAAAAAGAAAGTTGGGTGATATCACCTGATCAGACTCCGGCTGCAAAACACTTGTGTCTTTCTTTAGGAATACAACCCTTACCTCCAAAATGCTGGGGGCTTTTTCTCAATGCTTAATCCAAACTCAACATAGCAGTCATTTGCTTATATGTATTAAAAAATATATTGTAAGTATTTATAATATTATATTTTTAGTAATTTTATAAGTATTTTTATAGTAATTTTATAAGTATTTATGTACATTATCATAGTATATATATTATTGTACAGTAACATAGCTGTAAATTTTATACACAATTATACTATTATATACACAATTATGCTGTGTATACACAATTATACTACTATATACAAAATTATATATTATATATACACTCGTATATAAGAATTATCTAAAATATATAGTATTATTCTATTTCATAATAATATGACATTAGATTACATTCTTGTTTAACCTGCTTTAAATTAATTTTCTAATAGGTATTAAAATATACATATATATTCAGGAAGAAATTTTTCAGACAGCTTTGCTAGAAACTCCTTACCTTCCTTCCTCCTAGGAAAATAATATAGAACTGGAAACCTTCCTTACTTGAGATACACAGCAAGAAAAGGCCTTAATTCAATTCAGTTAGCAGATCACAAAAGATCTGTTTTTCACACAAATGCTTCAATTATGGCTATTGTCACCCCAGAAGCTCCAAGTTAAATACACAAAACAAAAGTAAAAGTGCACCTGGCACTCCTCTGATTCTTCTGCAGTCGCAGGAAGAATAGAAGGCTTTGCTGGTAATTTCAGTTCATATGACATTATACTCCACCTGAAAGAAACATAAATTCCCAGTCTTAGTTTTACACTCTCTCCACTGTATTAACAAAAAGAAAATTCACTGTCATACCCCAGAATAGCTACATATAAAAAAAAAGCTAGTTTAATTTGTAGTTGTAAACTATATGGGTGGAATAATTACAGAGATTAAAGAGATATTAAATTAGAGATTAAAGGTAATAATTTGTTTTATTACTCAGATTATTTTTTAGTGATTTGATTATCAGCCTCATCTGTGAAAATCTCATGGGACATTCAATATAAGGAATAAAGATTTTCTGGAAAAAAACATTCACATTATAAAAGAATTTGTGTAAACATACAGCAGAAGTCAAAGGAAACTAGACATCTTCCTAGAGAAAAATCTTTAACATGACATTAGCTTTCCATCTCAACTAGAGGAGGCAGGCATGAAAACAAAGCAAATGATAAAATGTCTTCTTTGATGTATATATATTTTTTTGTGTGGTACAGGACAGCACTTGACAGCACAGACAGTGTGAAACCACTAATAGCAACAACATCCTTCAAAGCTGGCTGAAAAGAGCAAGTAATCATTGGAGATGGGCCTTGGGAGCAAGTCTACTGAAATTAGACCAAAACATGAAACAGAGTGCTTTTTTCACTATGGAAAAAGGGAAATATGATTTAAGCTACAAGTTTTTCAGAATCTGAGGATCAGTAATAAGCATTTCTTGACATACTTTGCAATCAAGTAAAGCAATCAAGCAGTCTGCAGAAAAGCTTAAAATATAAAAAAGGCTTTTTTCTCTATTTCATTTAAATAACCTAAAGTAAAATCCCTTATGATGACACTCAAGTGTTTGGAACTAGAGCAAGGAAAGAGACACACACATGAAAGAAAGGAATAGTGTAAGAAATACTCCTCTCAGAAGCAGTGCTAGACTTCCATTGGAACAACACAACTATCGTCATCTCTGTTTTTTGTTTTTTTTTTTAATGGGAATTGCTGCCTTCCTTTATGGATGACAATTATACGAAACAAGAAGTGGGACTATCTCATTTTTTTTTACTAAGAAACTGCCTCAAACAAAAATATTAGTCATGGGTCTAATTAGCTCAGCATCTTATCAACAGTTGATGCCTCAGGAAAGGGTGAAAGCACACAAAGTGAGTTTTCCCCACATTCAAGGACAGAGAGCTCAGGTGTTTTCTAAATAAAGATGTCACCATTAATGGTGTTTAATAAGCATACATGGAGCCCCTAAAATTGCTCAAATCAGTTTTGAATCTAAATAATTTCTTAATGCTCACAACTTCTTGTAACAGGCAGTTATGCAGCTCCTTCCGCCATGCAATAAGCTGTCAACTTTTGAACATATTTGGACAGCACACTTCCCAGTCCCATCAACCACTCATCCCTCTGACTCTTTAGTTTAAAAAGCAGCCTAAAGAGCTGTCCCCATCACAACTGCAGCTTCCTTCATGATTGAGACCTGCACTCAAAAAGCAATCCCACTGAACACCAAGTCACCAAGATGGATTTTAGGCCATCAGAAACCCAAATAAATACAATTTAAATCTCATAGTAAGTGATGCATATGCACATTTAGGTTTACCTGTCTAACATTTTTGTGCTGGCTCGTTCTAGTTTTTCCAAAATCTGAGGAAGTTGTGTATCATCATCACAGGATCCTCCCCAACCAAGGACACGAGCAAGGTCATTTCCAGTACCAAGGGGTAACACTCCTAACTGACACTGAAACACAACACAGGAACAAACCTACTATTAAAAACTAGAAAGAAAATACAAGTGGTTACAAATGCTTGTTATTTCAATCAACAAATGTTAATTTCATAGCTGATGTCTAAAGCCTGTAAATCAAATTGTGCTATTCTGCTAAAACTTGTCCAGTTTATAAAAGTGAAAACTTTCATTAAACAGTAGCTATTGATTTTGCTCCATACACAGAGATACAACAAAAAAACAAGTTAAGGAAAAGGTAAGCACAAAAAATTCAGCCTAGTCAGTCTAGGCAAGGAAAGTAAATATGCACACTTGCCTGCTTGTGCAAGCTGAGCTTATCAATTTCTGACAAGACCCAACCCACGCTTCCATCGCCACCACACACAAGAATCCTGAAGTTGTCAAACTTCTGAAATAACCGCAAACTGCAGAGAAAATGCAGAGCTAGTTACAACCATTAGCGAGAGAGCAGTGACATTCATTAGCAATTGTTACAAGAAAATATTGTGCACAGCATCTTTATGATCCTTTTATTGTTGTGGGGTATGGGGATACAACCATCTATTTAATTAACCTATCTGCAACCCATCTGTCGCTGTATGTTCCACTTATACTGACATTTCTGATAAATAACATGCCAAGTTATTCTTTAAAAAAATCCCTTGATATTGTTTTCAGGATTTTATAAGTCTGATTTTATTAATATTAATAAAAAAAATTTAAGTAATAAAATTGCAACTGTTCCATGCTTCTCACTTCAGCCAGAAGCATAATGCACCACTGGGGATTTTTCACAAGAAGAGGGTAAGACACAATGACAGGATGTGCTCCACAATATGAGTGGGCTTTTGTGACCACAAGGCTAACTAAATGTAACTAAAGGACCATTGAGAGCAATTCTTAAACATAAGGAGATCATAAAAATATACGACAAATAATACAAGTATTTAATATTATATCCTTAAAACCATATGCTGCTTTCACTGCGTATTGCTCTTCCTCTGTTCTCTGACTTTTAACACCTCCATGGATAGTACAGAAAAGGAGGACAAGAGAGACAGAAAATGCAAAAAGGTAAGACAGAGGAAAAGGAAATGAGATGTGAAGAAGCAGGCAAAAGGTAAAAAAACAACAGGGACTTAAAAAAAAATAAAAAGAAAAAAAAGGTTGGAAAGTATAAACTCTTAAAATAATAACAACAAAGATATTTATTTTTAATGCATGTTATTTCCCAGAATATGTATAATTTCTGAACCATTTCTATTCTAAAAAGCAACATATCAAGATCACAAGTTTTTAAAGTATTTCTATTTTTTCTAGAGAAAATAAAGTCATTTGAATGCGATGGGCACATACCTATTCAGAACAAAAGAAGCAGACATTTAAGGGGAAAAAATGTTGATACCAGAGCAATTTATCCTATCCTGAGAAAAAGGAGAAAACCCCTAGAAATACACTGTCTCATAGCATGCACTTCTGGTTTTTAGATCAACTAGAAAAAAAGAAAGCATCAGTGTGACCTGATGGACTACTGCTAAGGACCTCTCCTTGGAAACTGTTTGGGAGAAGTACTTAAAAGCACCCAACATGAACTGAAATTTCTGTCCAAAATCAAAGTGAGCCACCTCAGTCATGACAGAGCTAGATGAAGGGAGAGAATTTGCAAACATATTTTTCAGGTTGCCTCCTTTCAAAGACTGTCTAATCATTTAAGACAAATGTTACATGTCATGATTACATGAACAAAATGCTAGCTAAAAGTGACTTGGATTCAGCTCAGATTATCAGGGTTATGATGAAAAGAATATTACAACTTAGAGTTAATATTATGTGTCCATAACACAGTACTAATTGTTATAACCCACAGCTGTAATCAATTATATTTGTATTATTTATGCGTTGTTTGAACTGATTTTTTGTGGATTTGCTTCATCTACTTTTTATCATTAAGGATAATTCTGCATCTTTAGGAGTACAAAAATTAGTGCTTCTAGTTGCTATAACTGATATTATTAGGCCATTTAACCACATCACTATATCTGAGTGGAAATGAGTTAGGCAACAGAAATATGGGCATGAATTTTACCTTAACGAATGTGCAAAAATAATTGAGTTGAGGCCACCACTATGCAAATTTTATTGCTATCTCTCCAACAATCCACTCTTAGATTTCAGGGAGCCTGGTGGTTTTGTGTTCTTGATCCAAATTCTTTGGGATGATAATTTTCTTGACTATTTGCATATGTTGCATAAACCATATTTTGGGTTTACTTTTCAAATGAAAAATTTTTCATGTACTTGTCTGTTAACCCACTGCAGACCCCGCTGCTGACATTTGTGTTCATAATTTTAAAAGGTACAGAGCACATTTAAACAATAGTCTTATTCCACAGCTACATACAAAAAGGTCAGAGGAATATCAGAATTATGCATGTGAAATGGAAGAAAAGAACCTGGGCAACTGTGCAAAAGGCAAAATCAAAGTTCCTGTGATACAGGAAAACATCTGAATATCTCTAACAGTTTTGAGCCTTACCAGTTAACAGAAGTCAAAGCTGGCCGAGTGCTTTTGGTTTTGAATTTTTGAGCTTTCTAGAAGGAAACTGTTATCCTACAAACCCTTCATGCACTGGAATTTATTTTGAAACTCTGTTGTCCCTTAGATTTTAATTAGGAAGCCAGAGTAGATATTGGTGACAGAATTACAGCAACAAGGGGATATAACAGTATCAAGCAAGGGAACACAACACTATACTTTGCACCTAATTCCCTTGTGGAAAGGCTTGCTCAAGGTTTCCAAGGTCATTACCCTAAGTGAGGTCCTCCATTCATTAAATCGAAGACCTGAGCTGGATTTAACGACTGTTTGAATCGACGAAGAAACTTTACTCCCTGATTGTCTCCACTCTTTGAGTTAACAAAAACTAAAAGAGGACTGGCACAGGATGGCGGGCATGTGGCTTTCCAGAAACCTGTAAACATAGTTAGAAAGAATGAAATAAATAAGGTTTCCTAATATGAACAACACAAAAAGAAATAATGGGAAAGAGGAAGATAGGGATGAAGGACAAAAGGAGTACATTTTTTTCATGCAAAATATAAATGCTAAATTGAGTATTAGTCCTGCAAAGAAAACATAATTGCATAAGATTTACCAATTCTTTTTTTGTTTGTTTGTTTCTGGTATTTTCAGTGCCTATATTTAGTAAAATCCTGAAGACAATAGCTTTATTGTTTTTCAAGTGCTATTAACCTTTTAGAATACTTACGAAGTCTCATCTTCACAGATTAACACATAATTGAATATATATATTTCAGTTACAAGTGTTTGGTTTTCAATCTTATTTTGCTTTAACTTTACTGGGTTGAACTGGATCATTCGTATCTGTATGAGCTTTTTAAGAGTACTCACAGATTTTAAAAGTTACTTGTACTCAGTTCCTCCCAGGCAAGACTTCCCATAGGAGCCTTTTTTCAGACTAAGGTTATACTATTCAGTATAACAGAATCACTGAACAACAGAAGACCTTCAGCTGTGATTCAAAGCTTATTAAGGCCAGTGCAGGTCTTAACTAATTACAGCAGGCTCTCTACAAGGTCTTTAGTCAGCAGCACTAATGGACACTGTTGTCACTAACATGACCAGTCCATGGAGGTAATGGTTTCCCAGCAACACTCCAAAGCCAGACATCACATGTATAGGTTTTGACATTTGTCTCCGGCAGGATTAAAATGATTATGTTGTTTTCAATTACTAAAAAAAATACTAAAGCTACAAATAAAAAATTTCATTAAGGGATGCTAATTTAATTCCACATTATCATAATGTCTAATTTCAAATAAGGTTTGATTAATTAATTTAAATGCCAAGAAAACTAATTTCACATATTGAACAATCTTCCTGGCATGAGCAATAAATGACAGCATGATGTCTAAGACACCACAAAGCAAATAAATAGAGTGAATACATACAGCATACACAATCTCTTCTACTAACTTCATGTAACAAAATTCATTTAATTGCATTCAAGATGTTGGTCTACTTTACCATTGACACAAACTATAAAATTTTGTGATACTTCTTTTTTAAATCCACTCTCTGCCTTGAAGTGCCATTTCCCACTGTTGATGTGTCTCTATCCTGGACCATCAAAAAGCATCTCTGAGTTTTGAGAATTTGCTGGGTTTTATCTGTGCATTGCAGAATTTTTACACTGCTTATCTTTAAAAAAAAATAAATTAGAGAAGCTATGGAAGCAATTCCTCCCTTAAGCCTGGTAAAGTAGTTGTTGGATCTGAGCTGTTCAGCTAACTTATCTCTGCATAATGCAAAATTATCCAAAATTTGAGAAGTCACAGAAGGAGTGGTGTATGCCAGGCTGGCGTCAGCCCTCTTCATCTAAGGACTCCGATCATTCACTTGAGATTTTTCTAAGGGTCATAAGTAAAATGGAAGTAAATTTCTCCTGGGGCAACTTTAAAAACATGACAGTTGAATAACTCTCTAAAAATCTGCACAGAAAATTATACTTCTCTCTAAATTTCAGACAGCATTCACCTGCTCAGCAGAAGGATTTTAGCCTTGTTTATTTGCATGGATCTCAATAGGTAGTGGCAGCCTATTGAGGTACCACAGAGGTACCACTGAACACACTACAGTACTACGTACCATCAGAGTCTATACTGTTTAGTGCTGTTGGAGGGATGATCGATACCTTACATTGGCCAAGTGGACATTTACGAGGGTACAGATCTTTACAGGCCGTGTGAACCTACAAAAGAGACAAAAAATTGTTTTCCTTCAGTGGAATTTTGAGGTGAAAATACAACTGATACTATGTTATCTATGTAACAAAAATGGACTCAATATTTAGGTGTGGAGGGAAAAGGAGTGAGACTAGTAAAAACCCCAAGTGTTCAACCACAGAGCCTTGTTACTAATTCAACAACACATTCTTTTGGAGAACTTCAGCTACCCCTATAGCAGATAAGAATCATCCTTTCAAGGGAATCACTTGCCCTCATCCACAAGGAAGGAAGAAGCATATTCCCAGCATCTGTGCTGATGACAGCAGGCAAAACAATAGCTCTGAACTTGCCTGGTCCACTGGGGCCATTCTGGAAGACATATCTGCATTAAAATAGCACATCTACCAAGCCAGACCCATCTCCCAATGTTGGGTCACATAAATCCCATATTGCAAAGGTCTTTTCCTCAGACATTGGAAATAGAGACACATGCAGAGGTGGTAGCATTTCATCTAAATTTCAAGTTACCTCTGGAGATGCCAATCATTTTCTATGGCTCATTCACAGAACCTTGGACATCTATATGCCAGAAGCTTCAAAAATAAATAAACTACTGCCTTGCATAAGAAACTCATCTTTTTAGACAAGTGGATATAATTCAGAGAAAATGATATATTGAGGAAACAGCAGTAGTGAGTTAGAGGATTTCAATCAGCAACCTACAGATTGCCCTGAAGAAGAGAAAGTCAAGATTTTGCACTAATAAACACGTTACTACATTAATATTGATAAATATGAATATAACATATTATTAAAAGAACAACAGAGCAATAGCTACAATAAAAAATACCAAGAAGTAACATATGATTATTATGCATAAGGAACAGGCACCTGAACATTCAGTTAACAGCTAGAAAAAAGCAGAGAAATTCACTGGAAATGACAACACCTATTAAAGAAAAGCTGCATCTGTGAGTGTATTTGAAATTGATTGTGCAAGTAGGACGGCCATCAGAAATTCTGAATGCTAGAGAGACCTGAGTTTGCAGAAGCTGCCTGCTCCTACTTAATCCAAAAGCAGGTTGTGGAATAACAAAACAAAAATAATGGCAAACACTAAAGCTATTGAACTGCGAGATGCTTGGATGTGGCTCAGCACACCTACCATAGCTTTACACCAAAGGCACTTCCAATCTTGCAGGCGTAGAACACTGCCACAAGTCTTGTCGCAGACTGCGCATTTGGCACTGACGGGCAGGTTTCCCTCTAACCACTGGTGAGGCATAGCTATCTGTGGAGAAGGAGTCATTAGAGTTAAGTACCCAGAAAAGGAAATTAAAGGCTTTTGTCCCTCAAATATAGGTGGATTTAAATTATTTCTCACAGCTGTACCCTTTCATCAAAGAAAAAGGTATGCTGGTCAGCCAGGATAAAGGACACTGATGCTCAGAAGGCAACTGCAATTAACAGATCACTCTGGTGTTCCACATAATAGGCAGAAAACATGACACGAAGAAGGGAGACCTGGCTCACTCATGGTAGCAATAAACCATAACACAGCAGGGCAATTAAGTCCAGAGACTGTCATACAAACAAATTCCCACACAGTTACATTGAGTACATGACAGAAACCAATTAAAAATTCCTGAAATTCATAAGAATAGTCAGGACAGCAGAATTCCTCTGTCACTTCATTTAACTGCTCACCATGGCTGGTAAGTCATGGCTCTCTAAAACAATCCCAAATACAGTGCAAAGCTTTACTCAGTGCACTCTTTGTCCCATTAATACCATGGGCTACTCAGGATACTCAGGTGCTCTATTTACTACCAGCCTTCTAAGAAGAAGCTTCACACCAGTGTTTCATACACAGCTGTGTTTGTAAAAATAGTCCATTTATCACAGTCAACCTCTCAAAAGCTTCTTTTGTTTCTCCTGCTAATTTTAAAATTCCTGCTTTCATTACCAAAATCCCCTCCCAATTCAGTGGATTCCAAACGGGCCTCCTGGGGAACTGCTCCAGGAAAAGAGGACAAAAATACATTGCCAAAACAGCATGTTAACAGTGCAAGATACCACCTTTGCTTAAGAGCAGTAGGAACTTCTGGGAGCAATTCTCCAGCTGCGGAGTTTCTCTGCATGTGGCCTTTAAAACCTTGTAATACATCTACAATCTAGTGCCCACAGTTGCTAGACTTGTGAGATAGGAATGCAACTTTTGTTCTAAATACCACATTAATCTTTGAACAGAGTTCAGGAAAATAGCCACCTACCATTAACTTCAATGGGTCACATGGCAATATTTCTGTGGTTGGGCTTTTTTTTTTCCCCCCCTAAAGAAGAAACAGCTTTGGAAAATACTGTAATACCGTATGGGTAGTACTTACACCATCTTCATCTTCAATGATGTCTTTTCCAATTGAGGCTAATGTAGTCCATTTGCAGTTATTTGTTGCTCGGACAGCACATCTTTTATGTGCTTTAAATTTACACACTGCAAGACACAGATAAACATATATATCCTGTGTTATTTGCTGTATTTCAGTGATACACACCTTTTTAAAAAATTAAACACAGATATCCCATAAAATAGCTAAGTACATGTCACTTAGTGTTGCATGCATGACACAGAACAACTAAAGGAAAATTCAGTTTATAATTTCCCCAGATTTAACTCTTTAACTGCTTAGCTGTGGCCCATGCTAAATGTGCCCTGAAGCCCACATTAGATCCCATTTTATCACATGTGAGGTACAATATATCTTTAATTATGGGTTTGCCTTTTCCATTCCTCTGGTAACATGACTCAGATATCCAACTCAAATTTGTAGGAAGTCATGGGAGACAGTTTTACAAAAGTATTTTGAATCAGGAGCTCTGTTTCTATGCTCAAAAGATGCCTTTGGGGCACCATGCTGGGCCTACTTTTCTCAGAACATGAGAAAGTAAAGGGTTTACATGGTGATATTTTTATTCAGGATACTGGGAATTACAAATTTTTCCAAGAGCCTATATCACACCAAGAAGACTCTTACTTGTTATTGCAATCTTTTTGAAAAGTCTGCTAGTTGGAATACCCAGACCAAGTGTGTAGTTAGGCAGACATTCTGACAACCTAACAACTATTTGAATTTTGTTAACTCAATTAATATGCCTACCTAATAATACCATATTAGACCAAACAGACTGGTGCACCCAAACCATGGGTATTTCTTCTACTGGAAGTCCATGATGTAATTCTATTTAGAGTGCATTATATAAATTATTTTGGCAAAGACCATTAAAGGTTTATGAGAACTAGCCAGTAGATCAGAAGTAGTAGTCTCTTTTCAAACAAATATTTGACAGGAAATTATCAAGGCTTTGGCCCATCACTTATCTACCATTAAAAAACATTAAGCCATGGTACAAAATGTCTTGTGAATAATAAATTTTCCATTTTAATTCCACTGATCTATTGCCAGATCAATTTAAAAAGTGAATTGAGACTATGTAAGCAACATCTGAGTTTGAGAGCAATCCTCACTGTTCTGGGAGATGTTTGAAAGTAAGTGTTCAGCTCTCACTCTTTTACTTTCTAGAAAGAACGAGAAGGAAAGAAAACAAAGAAGTTTCATTGCTTTTACAGTAACTCTCCCAGTCATTTCAAAAAGCAGCATTCATATAATCATAGAATTATTTGGATTGAAAGAGACATTTATAGGTAATTTAGTTCCAGCTCCCCCTGCTGTGGACTGGAACATCTTTTATTAGACCAGAGCTCCATCCAAACTGGCCTTGAACACTTCCAGGGATGGAGTGTTCACGACTTCTCTGGGCAACCAGTGTCTCACCACCATCACAGTAAAGAATTTTTTTCTACTATCTAATCTCAACCTACTCACAGTTTGAAGACATTTCCCCTTGTCCTGTCCCTACATGACAGTGTAAAAAGTCTCTCTCCATCTTTCTTGCAGGCTTCCTCCAGGTACTGGAAGGCTGCAATTACATCACCCCAAAGCCTTCTTTTTTCCAGGCTGAACAATGCCAGCTCTCAGCCTTTCCTCACTGGAGAGGTGCTCCAGCCCTCTCATCATCTCCATGGTATTCCTATGGACTCACTCAAATAGGTCAATGGCTTCCATCCTAAGAAAGGCATGGACTTGTTGCAGCAAGATCAATGCAGACTCAAAGTCAATCCCATAACTATGCAAATATCCCATAACTGTCAACTAACAGGGTAGACTCATTTTTTCTAAACAGCTCAGCATCACATTGTGTGTTTGCCAACCTAAGCTGGTTCCAAATATCTAATGAAGCTGGATCTCACAGAAGCGCAGAAATAAAGGTTGTATTTTCAAGTGATGGACAATGAGCAGTTTTCACCATTTGAATGTTTCAGAGAAGATATGCCACTGAATTCAGCTCTCTACTCATAAATGATAAGCATTTGCTTTGACACATAGATCAAAATACAACAAATCAGGGATGAGGAGGAATAGAAAATTACAAAGTAATAGAATGTTCAAACCCTACTGAGCTATGATAGAACTTGATCTCAGGAACCCTGTATTCAGCTTTATTCTCAACAAGGCAAGGACAAAATCAATTCCAGGCTCTGAAGAGCTGCAGAAAGCCACTCAATAGATGGCAAGTGACAAGTAACATTTGTTTTTTAAGTACTATAAATAACCTACCAACCAAATCTCAGATCAGACTCTTTGGGTCACCCCCCTGCAACCTCAGTGTCATGAAACAACAATTTTTGTTAGTCTGAATATTAAATATTACAAACAACAATAATCTTAAGATACAGATATAACTTGCAAGCAAAGAAAAGAAAATTTTAAATCAAACCTCAATATTAGTTACCACTATGACCTAACTTATTTTGTCTCAGATTACACTGAATCCCATTCATTAATCAGTCTGATACCTGAAATCTTTTGGAAAATATGCAGACATATGGCTAGAAATCAACTGCCATTACCTTGCCAATGAAAGCTAAAATATGAGAAAAGTTAAATTACTCAGGAAAATTAACATTGCAATGTAGTTTCTGCAGGTGTGCAGTCATCGGTTGTATGACCATACACTCTAAGAGAACAGGACCCTCAGTCAGTGCATGTAATGGATGGTTCTCAATAAGTATGGGCCTGTGCCATACTCTGCCTCATAATAATTCTCAACAGGTATTTGCCTCATTCTAAAAGGAAAAATCTAATGTAATACTGATTTTTAGCCATCAATATTAATTTCTTCCTGGCCTTTTAAAATTATTATTATTATTATTATTATTGTTGCTGTTATGCCTGGTAATACTACTACTACTACAATTAAGACTTTTTTTTCAATACTGTATATCTGCAAAGAATCAGGAACTTCAGAACAGCTTCAACTGATTTTTGCAGTGATAGAAAACAGCATTTCTGTGATACAGGCTGCCGGTTATAAAGAATGCAGAACTACTGATTTGATCAAAAATCTTATTTAAATTTTTTCCCCAGCATCACAGAAATGTACACGTGATATAAAGTCACAGAACAGTTTTCTACTACTCCTTCATTCTTTAACAACATCCCTTCCCTTTCTTGTTGCTTCATTCACTATTGACTCTCCAGACTGTACAGAAAATGTGGAAAAAGTATCAGAGGAAATGACTGTGCAAGCAGTATCCATACAATTCCCTGGGCAATGGGTAAGAACAACAGGGTTTTGTGGGCAAAAGCCCACAGCCATAATGGAAAAAGGCAAAGTGCACAAAGTGCATTTGCAGAGGTAATTTAATCCCAGTATTTTCTTACTGATTGACTTCATCATCCTAAAGTGTTCTTACAACATTGTTTGTGTGATTCGTCACAGGAGAATGCAGTTTAAGAGAGAGGTTTCTCCCACTTATTAGCTATACTTGATATTCAACAATCAAGATTTTGTCATGATAAACAAAATGCCACATGAAAAAATAAACTTCTGAGCATAATCATAAATGCAGTGTTCTACTGGCAATGACTTAGATAGAAATGCAGTATTGATGCAGAGTAACTGAGGTAACAGAGCTGTGGAAGAGTTTCTGTAGATAATGATATATTATTCTTTAAGCTTCTTTGCCTAAATATTCCATATTGAAGCTAAATTCTGAGGAGCATAAAAATCAAAACCCTTTCTTGATTCAGCTGATTTGGAATAATTCCTAAAGCAAGGCACAGAGATCATAATTACTCTGTCCTAGTAAAGACTAGATGAACATTGCAGAGAGCAGTCATTTAGCTAGAGCAACACAACACAGAGATAACATCAGAAAAGTAGATTATCTTTTGAGAAGACAAAAGAAAGGACCTATTGGAAGAACAGCGTTGCATCTCAAAGGAAAGTCTGATTTTTTTTTTTTTTTTTAGAAGTCAGTTGCTTGTTGAGTAGTAGCAAAAATGAAGCCTGGCTTGTTATAACTTACATCTTGAGATTGATATACATATCAGTTCTTTGACTTCTAAAAAGGTATAAGTTTACATTAATCTTTTACCTAGCAAATGTATTAACCTACTGTCTTTTTCTACACTTGTTTCCACAAGACTTAGGAGTGTCTTCAGGGTGGCCTGCAATTAATTTGGCCAACCTTTGCCAAAGGTTGCTGGGATGGAAGGTGCCCTGAAGAAAAAGCCACCCATCATCCCCAAAAGAAATGAGGCTTGGTTTGTGGTCAGACTTTTAAAAAAGCAGTTGCGCAGGAAATCAGCAATTTTAAGAGAATAAAATATTACAGGACAACTAAACTATCAAAACTGCAAGATATCATCAATGGGGTTTATTTTTATCTATAGTTAAGAGTCAAGAATCAGACCCCAATAACTCTAAGCTACTTTCAAGACAATTTGGTGTGCCAGTAACCCAACACACTAACAGGAGGAAGAGCTCAATTACCTCTTGAAAGAGCCTCTCATGCTTTTCAATACAAGGCATAATAGAGTAGCCTGGGATCAATGACCACACAAATAATTGAATTTTGTATAGATATAAATGGATTCCCACTATAAAGCAGTACTGGAGGTTTGAAAAGCCAGGCATGAATATTTAAACAGATTTTTTTTAATTATGTAACGGGGAAAAGCAGCACAGAACAAATCTGGGGAATGTTAAGACTCCAAACTTTCCAGATTGTCCTCTCAAAGTTTATAGACTGCTACTACAGGTAAACTAAAGAAAAAAATTGATGATTAAATGCATTAGAAGTGCACATAGCAGAAGCAAGTATCAAACAAAAATTCTTTTTTTTAGATGAAGAAATTAAGGATGATGGGTTTTAACGTGTATACATAATTGCAGGGAAAAGTATACATAATTGCAGAGTATAAAGTATTACAGTAAAAGAGTCAAATGTCAAATTATTTAGACTAGATATATAACTAAAGATCTTATTTTATTTTAAAAAATAAGAAAATAGATATAAAATAGAAGCTAAGAAGTAAGAGGAGGTAAACTTATTAATAGACAAAAGAGTATCATAATATCTACATATAAAACATTCCAGTTCATACATGATTATGAAACTGCGGAAGAGTGAAAGGAATTCCAAGTCACTTTCACAATCTATTTTTAAAAACTGGTATCAGAAATGTGGATAAATGTAGCATTAGTTTGTCATAAGTTATACAGAAAGCTGACAAACTCCAAATCTGGAAATTATGGGAACTTCCCAATGTAAAGTCAATGCCAGCGCCCTGTATATTAAAAACATACTTAGATGCAAAATTAGACACTGGAAAGACATAAAACTGTGAACTACAGACATTAACATTGATAATTTTTGATAAATTATCCTTTTAAAGTAGTGATAATATTAACTTAGGAATGGATAAATTCTTTATGAAAGTCGTTCCTTTCCTTTGTCTGAGCAAACGTAACTGTATTTGTACACAAAGGCAATACAACTGCATTTTAGTTAAGTACATGATACTCCCATCTGTCAATATCAGACATTGAGAATACCATAATTGCCTTTAAACTGTCCAAAGGACTTATTCACAGTGGAAAACATACACCGAAGAGGCTGGAAGTAACCATGCTACTTCTAATTTCTACAAAAGAGGTTTGTCCTGTTCCTTGGCAACTGCACCATTAGCTCCATTAAAAGCATGGACAATTCAGGACAATGGTTTAATGTTCCCTTTGTAAGATTTCCTTAATACATATTATTATCCTCAAGTATCATAACAGCATCAATAACAGAAATGCATTTGCAGTTGGGTTACATACATCTAAAGAAATCAAATTATGAATGGTGTAACTGTAACTCTTTTCTGGGCAGTCAGCTATTTTAGTAATTAAATATTTCTACGTTTCATATATCTCATAAGGTCACAAAGATGCTTTATTTTCTGCTGTCTCCTAACACAAGGAGACTCATTACCATTTTTCCACAGAACTTGCAGGAATAAAAAAATAAGCTGTTTCAGGCATATTATAATTATTTGTTAATTAAATATAATTTCTAGCTAAATGATGAAGACTTAGCCACATTTCCTTTTTCTTTGTACTGGATTTCCCCTGTTGAGCCATCAAATGCAGTCATCTTCTACATCTCTGCCCTTTCACAGCATGAGAGAATTTTTAAAGCAGTAAATCAGTGTGTACTGCAGGATCAGGCAGCAGCAATAGAGAAAACAAGAACTGGAAGGCAAGGGTCATAACACTCTGTTCAGTGTTAAGAATGCTTTTAGATTTGGGGCAGAAAATACCATAATGATTTTTTTTTCCCCTAAGAAATGCTGATTCTATGCATTAAGACTATTTTGTTCCACATTTTTGATGTGCAAATCATATAAATTCTATCTTTTCAAACCCTCCACCCTGTACACTCCAAACTGCTTGCTGCAACAGAGAGAAATGTTCTATTGAAAAAGGCACCTGTAGCAACAGGAAGGGAGGCAGATCCTTAGCAGTCCCTCTGCCCAGAGGAGGGTCACTCTCATATAGAGTTTTCTCCCTTCGGGCTCTTTTGTTACTCATTATTTTCAGGATCATTACTCATACTGAACTTGCAGCCATCTGTCTACACACCGAGCATGATAACCAAGGGGAAGCAATCATTTTACCTTCGCAGGACAGGCCGTGAGAAGTGACTCCAGAGAGGCTCTCTCTGCACACGTTACAGAAGGTGGGTCGGGCGTGGGAGCAGGCGTACCAGTTATGCATCCCTGAGAAATGTTCCACATTAAACTGTGCGGTCTAGTAAAGGAGAAGTTAAGACAAATTTGCAAGTACAGAACACAGCTACGGTCACTGACATTACGCACGGTTCCATATTACAGGGGACGACAGTGAAATGCTCCCCAAAAGGATTTTCCAAAGGGTATTTAACCTGCTCTCCCTCCAAAATTCTAAACCGAAGTGTGATGATAAGCTCTCCTTTTGCTAGTGAAGTTCTTAAGATGAAGCTTCACTCTGACATTAGACACACTTTTCACACTAAGGAGGGTGAATACTCCAGTTCCGTGTCCTGTAGCTTGATCTGTTGAGCTAGGTTGCTCCAAGAGGGATGTCAGCTTACCTCATAGTGTTCTCTGGACTGAACGGACTTCAGAGAGCTTATCCAGTCCTCCATTTCTTTTCTGTTCTCAGCACACAATATTAGCCTCCTAAATGGAGTGATTATCTGAAACAGATAACACATCCTGATTAATCCAGATAAGTAAAAATCACGACAGGCTATGATACTTAATGCACTCTTCCCCCTGAGATGATGCAAGAGGATGACACGCCCTACAAGGCAAGATCCTAAACACTTATAAATATTTTCTTTAATGCACTACCAGCAACAAAAGAGTTTGCTTTTCCTTGTACAGTTCCCAAGTTTCAAATCAGGTTTGGGAAAAGGTCTCTGGAATCTACATTGATCATTACCCCTTCTCAGCTCTTTGTCTATGCACTGAGATTCAAATGCTCAAATGGCAGGCACTGAAATGCTAGAACAGCCATTCTGTAAATTACTATTTGACTAAGACTGCAATCCTATTTCATAACTGCATCATAGCAACTGCAAGGTCCATTCCAATTGCTAGAGACAAAAACATATCAAAATCAAATGCCTGGAAGTCTCAAACAACCACAAAAGCTGTCATCATATTTCACTATCTTGTATATTGATAATGTATTTCCATAAATATATGCACACAAAAATTTAGAACAGCACTTTTTATATCCAACTATATCAACTCAGTATAAGAACACATACAAGTCTTTATAAAAACACACAGGGAACAAAAGCAAACAGTTGAAATCATACCCTACTAGGACAATTGAATGAATTCCTGGAACAAGTTGATGCTGGGAATTTTTCAGTGCTCTGGAGTTGGATTCTAGAAATCTGAAAATACTGTACCAGGGAGGTTCAGAGTACAAGCTGCTCTCCCCTCTCCCTAAACAGCAGAAAAATAATCAAAATAACAGGAATGCAGCAGAAACTATCAGCTAACTCCTACTGAAATTATTTTGAGCACTGCATTAAAATAGACAAAGCAGTGACATACATGGCAAAGAATTTAAAACAAGTACAAGAAAATAAGGAAAGTTATTTGTTTTGTTGTAGAAAGTCTGAAAAATAAAACTAAATCCTTTATCAGTATTATGCATTAATCTATTACATAGTATGTACCACCAACACTTGCAAATTAAATAAAACCAAGAAAGGACCACTTAAAAATGGTAACTCTGATTTTTCTTTTAAATGCTATAAGCTAGACATTACAACATTTGGACAATATTAGTAAACATTTATCTACAGCTGCACTTACTTACCCAGTCCTTGCCGTAAATTGCCTCTAGCCTAGAATTGTCCTATCCACTCCTTCATTAAACTGAGCTGCACTTTAACATATCTCAGAGGCGACGTAACTGAAGTGCAGCAGGCTGCAAGTCACATGGAGGGGAGGCAAAAACCTTTTGCGCTTGCCTTTTTTTTTTTTTTTTTTTTTTTTTTTTTTTTTTTCTTTTTTTTTGTTTTTTTTTTTTTTTTTTTTTTTTTTTTTTTTTTTTTTTTTTTTTTTTTTTTTTGTAATGTACTCACTTCACATGGAAGGGAATAGTTTCTTTGTTTTCTGTTTCCTTAAATCTTGCTTAAGCTATTTAATAAGGTTTATTAGTAGGTCTCCATGGCTTTTCCTAAAGAACAGTTTATGCAAAGCGCAATGCTTCTCTCATTAGTTTGGAGCCAAACAGATGCTTTATTACTTCAAAATGTTTTTCTAGGCCAGGTCATCCAATGAAGCCAAGAAAAGTCATTAAATCATAATACAACCCTGGCTCAAACAGCTATCAGCATTCTGCTGAAATTTCCAGGTTTGAGTGGACACAGAAATCTTATTTGGGCAAATACAAACCACAGATTATTTCTTATTATATAGCATGAGATTATAATACAGATTAAATAATGATAAACCCACCCGAGGCTTGGCACGTTATGTCCATCCTCCTGCCACAGTTATTACTGATTCTAACCAGTAGCCAGACATTGTGAAATGCCATTAAGCAACAACAGCTGCACTTATTGCTGAAAACTCCTGACTAATCTCAATCTTTTCAAGTATTGCTTAGATATATATTGCTCCTGTCTTCATTAGTACTGGTCACAAGCCACTGTGCATCCCTCCCCCTTCCCCTAATCTGAAATTAAGGCCCTGGTTCAGTGGCTCACACCTAGCTTCCCAGTGCCAATGAAGACACCCTTTGGTATCCAAAGTTTTGACAGGGGAGGGGTAAGTATGACAGAGGACCAGAACAGTAGCTATAAATAACCGAGGTGGGACACCAAACTGCCTCTCAAAATGCACTGCACACCCATCTATTGGCAATCGAATCACATCACCAAACACTGCAAACCAATACATGTAGACACACCAGAAATTCATATATTCCAGCTTCTTATTAAAATCAGAGTGCAAAAATCTTAGCAAGCTCACAGCATTGCAGCAGTTTAACAGCTCAATAGGATACTGTCAATCACATGAATATAGGATCAATTATTATTGCTACAAAAATAAAGTGGGAAGTTGGAAGACGTACATATTTGTAACTACCAATTCTTTTTGATTTACATATTTGTAACAACAAACGTCAAGAAGCTACATGGTAACATAAAAAAGACAAAATGCATTATATGCAAGAAGTATCAACAATGCTTGAAATTTTTAAAATAAAATAAAATAAAATAAAATAAAACAAAATAATAGGAACTAAGAAGCCTATTTAGCTTCTCATCTATTTCAGTCTACAAAATCATGGAGAAAATATACTCTAATTATTTTTTAGATATTTCATGTAACATAAAAACTCAGGCAGCCAAGGAAACTGTTAGCAAACAGTGTTTTTCCCTAAATGCAAAGCATTCTTTAAGCTTGAAAAGTATTCCCAAAGGATGCTGAGGAGATGAAAAGTAATAATGTCCAAAAACGCATTTGAAATATAATCACAAATAAATGCATCACATACTATAAAAGACAATATTTAAAATCTTCAACTTATCAGGTCTTCAAAAATCCAACTAGTCAATCAATGTAGGGAAGTGACTCAAGGGTAAGAATCACTGTATATACTCTGCTGTTTCTACTTCATTCTTTAGTATCTGCTACTATTGTTATTATACTTGGATTCAACATGGTTTTGTGAGCTTTACACTAACTCAGTATAGCTTTTCTTGTTTATCCTAAATGGAGATTGACTTCCTAAACCTTCTTTTTTGCATTAATACAGATGGCATGCTTTCATCTGAATGCTTACACAATGCTATGATTAACTAAGTGGGATGTTTGAAGTTCATTCACTTAAAGACAACTGAACCTGTATACAGACATAATCAAAATTAAAAAGATGTAACTGAGCTCAAAACAATTTTCCTGCCATGTAAATTTAAGTTTAACTAGTAATTTTATCTCATTGCATGTATACATATTCAGAGTCCTTTATATTCTCTTTTACTGACCCAAGTCAGCACCTTTTTTTTAATTACATATTACCTTTTTGATCTTTGCTGCTCCATACTACTATTTGTATATTGCTCTGAATATGCTGAACTCTCGAAAGCAAGAAAGCAAGAAAGCAAGAAAGCAAGAAAGAGAAAGAAAGAAAGAAAGAAAGAAAGAAAGAAAGAAAGAAAGAAAGAGAGAGAAAGAAAAGCTCTGTAACACAATGCAAAGGAAGTGTCACAGGAACCAGTGGAAGACGACTGAGGTAACATAAGAACAAGAAAACTCTTAAGTCTTGAAGGAACTCAGGTGCCAACAATTCACATGCTGACAAAGCAAGAGCTAAATCATGAAAGATGAAGACAGTCAAAAGGTCTTTAAAAATATATAAATTACCTTTGAAAATTTTCACCATTGTCAAGTAGCCAAGATGTCACTGCTGATTTTGGAAAAGACAATTACCAAGAGCAGATACTGCAGTGTATTGAAAAGTAATAAAATAGAGGTAGTTGGAATAAAAACTACTTTCAGTGCAGTAGGCATTGGGAAAGAGTAAGCATACACAGTCTTAAAAGTTGAAGACAACTAACACAAACACTAAAAAATCACAGAAATAAACAATGTCTGAATGGGAAGTAAAACTATCCATTACTGCAATAATGTTCTTGTCCTGTTAGAAAAGTAGAGGGATTTTTTTGAATGGGGAATGAGGGAGAGAACAAGAGATTACTGTTCACTCTGCTACCACATATGTCTTGCCTTAAATTGGGATTTTCACACAAGCACTACAATAATTTGGCTTCTAAAAGTATACATATACTCATATATATATATATATGTACATACACATCTTGAAATGCCTAATTTTTATTCTATTTTTTTACTATCAGCAATATATAAGAAAATACAGTTCCCAAAGCTTGATGGCTCCAGTTCTGGCTTCTTTTACTAATTCAAAATGAAGACAGAGTGTTTGCTAATCAAGAGAGCAGTGCTCTATACCTAAGTAGCTACAAAGCAGCTATTGTAAAGCTTTCTGCTTCCTGCAACATGATATTTGCATTAAGGCACCTTTTGTCATCTGAGCTATTATCAGGCATTACACTAATAGCGCTTTGTATGGCTGATCTTGAATTAAATTACTAATGTAGAAATGTCACGTAGAAGCTGAAAGGAGGAAATGGTTTTCCTGCCCTCTAGACAGATACTTTTAAAATATCTTTATGTAGATAATGAAGAGAGAATGATACAGAGAGAGCACCCCAACTCTCTTCTTAGGGACCATATTCAATGCCTGGGGCAGGAGTGTAACATTAAATGCTTCCTAACCTCTCTGTGCTTACAGATATTGGCGAGTCAGTACAGGCAAATACTAGGATAACATGCTCTGCCTTCCTTGCTTTTTAAAGTCTGCCTCTCCATTCCCCTTTTCTTGTGCAGATGGGTCTGCATGAGTGTGGCAGGTGAAGGCACCTCCACCAATGGTGGAAGTAGACTGCTGGGGTCAATGATCCTCCCACACCTTCCAGAATTTGTCTGCAAAAATCACAGTGCTAACAGCTGGACATCTTTCTAGAGTATTCATAATTTCTTAGTTTCTGGATACTAAATAACTTATAACAATACTGTCAATGTCAAAGGTGTAGTTAGTTGGTGCTTTAGGGTGAATTGTCACTGTTATTTTTCATGATGAGTCAAGCCAGGCAAAAGTATAAATTACAAAAACAGGGGAGGAGTTAAAAGCAAGGTGGGTAATAAATGGTTATTACATTTGCCTGAGTACAATACAGAATTTATAATCAGAACAATTAGCTCTGTCTTCGCCACTAAAATGTTGCTTCCTTCTTTTTCCTGGCCTTCTCCTGTTTCAATGTTCCCAAGCTCACAAATATTGATGTAATGTGTGGGTTTGGCTCCCACAATAAAAACTCTAAGGAGGAAAAAGAAAAGGGTTAGTCCCACACAGCATCTCCTGCACCAATATAACACCAGAACAAGTGAGCTGAGCTAAAAGACAGGACAAAAATGAGAAAGGTAAAGGGACTTCATTCTACAGTGGAATCCAACCTTGGTAATTCAGGTGGCTTATCTTACACCACAGAGCAAAAATGAAGGAGCATCACCCAGAATACAATCAGGCACATGGACAAGAAAGCAGTTGGGAATAGTCAGCATGGATTCATTCACCAAGGGGAAGTAATGTTTTTTCAACCTGTGATGAAACAACTGGCCTGGTAGATGATGAGACAAAGGTGGATATCATTCACCTTGTCTTCAGTAAGGCTTCCAGGACTATCCCTTAAGATCCTCCTAGAGAGCTGATGAAGGATAGTCTGGATGAGCAGACTGTGAGGTGTATTGAAAACCGGTTTCGTGGCCAGGCCCAAAGGATGGCGATCAGCAGCACAGAGCATGGCTGGAGGCCAGTAATTAGCAGTGTACCTCAGGGGACAATACTGGGTACGGGCCTGATTAACATCTTCATTAATGATCTGGATGATGTGGTAGACTGTATCCTCTGCAGGTTTACTGATGACAGAAAGCTGGGAAGGAGTGGCTGATACACCCAAGGGTCACACTGCCATCCAGGGGGACATCAACAGGCTAGAGGAATGAGCTGGCACTAACTCATTAGGTTCAACAAGAAGTTCCAAGTCCTGCAACGGGGAAGGAACAACCCCAGGCATCAATGTACCCTGGGGGCCACCCAGCTGGAAAGCAGCTTGGCAAAAAAGGACCTGGGGTACTGTTGCACAACAAATGGAGCATAAACCAGCTACATGCCCTTGCAGGAAAATCAGCCAGTGGTATCCTAAGCTGCCAGTCCAGGGAGTGAACCTGCCCCTCTACTCAGCCCTAGTAAGGCCTCACCTGGAGCACTGTGTCCAGTTCTGGGCTGCTCAGTACAAGAGACACATGGACTTACTGCAGATATTCCAGTGAAGGGACTGGAATACGGGATATGTGAGGAGAGCCTGAGGGAC